CGAATTGACACTGACATTTTTGACAGTTTTGACAGCAAAGTATTTTTGAGTTTGACGGGCGATTGGTTTTTGTCTAAAATAAATTGTTGAAATCTGTGAAAATGGCTTCGATTATGCAGCGAGCTGCAATTACTTACCTGAGGACCAACGCGCGTTCCTCTACGCATGCTGCTACTGCTGGTGGACATGGAGGTAGTATTCATATTCCCATTGAAAATTCATAAAATTATGTAACCACATAACCTATTTCTTGTATCTTATCAAAGGCCCTTTTAACGTGTTTCCATCAACGAAAGTCTGATAATGTCTTGCCCATCTCTATAAATCAGAATCCAATAATAAAGTGTACCTATTCTTTTTCTATCATTTCTGTCAGATCACATGTTACTTGACTGTCAATGGAAAAATCAATACTTGTCTCCATGTCAGTGAAACTGATGCACTAGTTATCCTTGCATAAAAGTAGATCCTATAAAGCTATCAGTGTTTCAATAGCTGTATTATATTACATTCAGGTGGCTGGAAGTTGTGGAAGAAGCTGTCTTTCTTCGTTGCATTCCCCGCTGTCGGTCTTGGCATGCTGAACGCCTACCTGGCCCACCAGGAGGAGCACCACGAGCGTCCGCCCTTCATCCCCTACGAGTACATGCGTGTCCGCACAAAGGTGAGATTGATAAGACATCTTTTGTTATAGTAGGGAATTTAGTGCAATGATTTGTATGGAGACCCCTCCACTTTGGTATAGAAGGCTCATTTTTGCAACAGTGGTTCTTTGGGTGCTCCTGAGTGGATTTCCGTCGGTAGACATCGGGAGCCCCCCCTGTGGTAGCAGGGGGAGGGGGGGCAAGTTTCCTTCTGCCGCGCTTCACTTTAAGGCTCATATCTTCAAAACTATGGGTATTAGGGCAAGTGTGGTATCATTTTCGGATAATTAAAGGATGGCGCATTCATTTCTGGAACAAACTGTTTGCCTTTTCATACAAAAAAATAGAAATATTAAGTAAAATTCACAAAAACCAAAAATATTTTTTTTAAATAAACGTCGTTTACTTTTAAACCACTGAAGATAATCTAATAAAAAAAATATGTCCTAAAAGCTACATTTATCAGGATTATAAATATATACCATTTTATGGTACTTTTTTCGCAACAAGTAGGCGAAAAAAAATTTTTCTTCAGGACACAGCGGGCGAATTTTACTGCGCATCGGAAAAAAATATTTATTTTATCCATGAATTCATGCTATTTGGTTCATAAGGAAGCAAGGATTATTATTTTAGAATTTATTTAGAGTTGCTGGCACATCAAGAAATCATGATTTGTATTTTTTCTTAAATTAATTTTGAACTCTATGTATGAGACATAAGGTTGAAAATAGCTTAAATACATTTTAATCTTGAAAATATCTTAAGACTACATAAAGAACTTGAATTTTTCTAAACGTCTAATGATTATTATTATTTTAATAAACACTTTTATTTCTACATACTATTGTACCAGTGATTTAACGGAAAGGTAAGTGTGAGGAAAGTGAGGATTGACAAATAATAGTAAGTACGGGAGATATTTTTAGCACAAAAAGGCTACGGCTGTGACCATTTTAGTTGTTTTTTTAGACAGCACCAGCTTCTGCACTACTTCATGCACTTACATCTCACCATTTCAGCTACGGGCAAATCGGTCCATATAGGTCCCATGTTGCTATCGACTCTGGTCCACCCCCAACCAGTCGGGTAAAGGGAAGACTGAGTCGGTTGCTTGCAACTGATCCTATACGCGAATCCATTGATATACGAGTACTGCTAGTAGCCAATTCTGATACAAAGCTGTCTGGGTTATCTTATGTAGGGCCGTACCTTAGCGTAGTCCACAGCGACCCATTAGGATCTTTATGCTCCCTTTTTTATTTCCATCATCCAAAAAAATCCGATCCTGAGTGAAAGCCACCTAATAGTCTTCTGATGCCGGATAAGCTGACCCAAGCAGACCCATCCTTACAGTATTAAGTGTTTCATGGACCCCACATGTATTCCACATGCTCGAGAGCTGTCTTCTGTTGCTTGGCCAATTTTGTGGGACATGTGGTTCGTTCCATAATGCTCAGTTTGCGTATCCGTAATTATTTGGGCTTACCTTTTATTTCCGCTTAATGAGTTTTCTCCATGACCCTGTATTTCCCTTTAGGAATGATATGGAGAGGCTTATATCCTTGGAGCTTTCCCATTCAGCCATGTGATTTTGGGTGATATGGCCGTATTATAGCCATGAGGTGTGCTTTTAGATAAAGGTTCTGACCCAATAGGTATCCATCTCTGACCCTTGTCTCGCTAGACTGTCGGCTCTCTCATTGCATTCGATTCGATCCCTGTATGTCCAGGTATCCCACATCAGGGACACTTTATTATGCCTTCCGAGTTTGTTCATCTTTAAGATTGCATCTAGAATAATTCTAGACTCAACCTTCACTGAGGCGATGGCTTTGTTTGAGTGCTGCCTGACTGTGGCTCAGGATGTAAATATTGCGTTTATAATTATAGCGTAGAATTCAGCTTGAAACACTGTAGCAAACCTCCTTAAGCGTTCACCGTGTTCGAAATGTTAACAGTAGACGCCCGCTAGCCGATACCGTTCCCAAGGCAATCTTGGAGCTGTCAGTAAACTAAATTAGGCTGTTCTGGTGGGATTTTGTTCCTCTTTTTAGTCATCCATTGTTCAAGATCTATCCACTGTTTTTTCCCCACTTATCTTATTAATCCACTGGTTTTGTTTTAAATTATGTACCTACTACTATTACTACATGCTTGACTATGAACGAGTGTTGTAAGTGCCCACCAACCTAGGAAGTTTTGTATCAGAATTGGCTACGGGAAGTATGATATACTTCAGGGCAGTTATTTAAAATTTAGTATATCAAGGGGTAAAAGGGGCAAGCAACCGACTCAGTCTTCCCTTTACCCGACTGGTTGGGGGTGGAAAAGAGTCGATAGCAACATGGGGCCTATATGGACCGATTTGCCCGTAGCTGCTGAAGCTTGCCTGGAAATGGTAAGATGTAAATGCATGAAGTACTTAGTGCAGAAGCTGGTGCTGTCTAAAAAAACAACTAAAATGGTCACAGCCGTAGCCTTTTTGTGCTAAAAATATCTCCCGTACTTACTATTATTTGTCAATACTCACTTTCCTCACACTTACCTTTCCGTTAAATCACTGGTACAATCATCATCAACAGCCCTTTACAGTCCACTGCTGGACTATGAGCCTCCTCCACTATAGTGGAAGGTTTTGCCATAATCTCCACGCTAGGCAGGCGGGTTGGAGATCGCAGTTTAAAAGATTGATGTTTTTCAGAGAGCGCTGCTGCCCATTCTCTGTTTGATGTGTAGTCCCTAAGTCGCCTCTTACGACACCCGCGGGAAGAGTAGGGGTGGTACAATAGTATGTAGAAATAAGTGTTAATTAAAATAATAATAATCATTAGACGTTTAGAAAAATTCAAGTTCTTTATGTAGTCTTAAGATATTTTCAATATTAAAATGTATTTAAGCTATTTTCAACCTTATGTCTCATACATAGTGTTCAAAATTAATTTAAGAAAAAATACAAATCATGATTTCTTGATGTGCCAGCAACTCTAAATAAATTCTAAAATAATAATCCTTGCTTCCTTATGAACCAAATAGCATGAAGTCATGGATAAAATAAATATTTTTTTCCGATGCGCAGTAAAATTCGCCCGCTGTGTCCTGAAGAAAAAATTTTTTTCGCCTACTTGTTGCGAAAAAAGTACCATAAAATGGTATATATTTATAATCCTGATAAATGTAGCTTTTAGGACATATTTTTTTTTATTAGATTATCTCCAGTGGTTTAAAAGTAAACGAGGTTTATTTAAAAAAATATTTTTGGTTTTTGTGAATTTTACTTAATATTTCTATTTTTTTGTATGAAAAGGCAAACAGTTTGTTCCAGAAATGAATGCGCCATCCTTTAATTATCCGAAAATGATACCACACTTGCCCTAATACCCATAGTTTTGAAGATATGAGCCTTAAAGTGAAGCGCGGCAGAAGGAAACTTGCCCCCCCTCCCCCTGCTACCACAGGGGGGGCTCCCGATGTCTACCGACGGAAATCCACTCAGGAGCACTCAAAGAACCACTGTTGCAAAAATGAGCCTTCTATACCAAAGTGGAGGGGTTCTTGCACTAAATTCCCTACTATTACACCTAAAATGATTTTGGATCACAATTTTACCATAAACAGGAAATATAGTCTCTTTAGGTACCTATATCACAGGAAAATTAACACAATGGAAAGTAATAAAGCATTAGAATTCCAATTAAATAGTTACAATGAAGCCTTTGTTTGTTGTTGTTTATAAGTGTATATTTTAGGATAGCGCAATGCCTATAAATTCATTAATGGAGTGAGTTTCCACTCACTTAAGTATCAACTTTTTCTACTTCTGATAGGTTTAAATATTTCATTAAAAGTAAAATTAGGTACCTGCATTATTAGATCAAATAATCTCCAAAGTCAGGTAGGTAGGTAACTATTTAAAATAAGTAGCAACTAATCAAAATATTTTTCTATTTCAGCGTTTCCCATGGGGTGATGGCCAGAAGTCTCTCTTCCACAACCCCCATGTCAATGCTCTGCCCACGGGCTATGAAGACTAAAAATGTAACATCAGCTTTTTTATTTTTAGTTTCACTCTCTTAGCATACAAAATTGTGTATTGTGATAATAAGTCATTAAATAAATTATAAAAGTATTCTTTTAGTATTTTATTTTGAAATAATACATGGCTATGGTGGAGTGAGTGGACTATTTCATTACCTAGGTCCTAGGCTAGGTACCCAAAGTAGGTAAACTTTATCAACAAATAATTATGGAGAATCAGAAGAGAAGACCCTGAAGAATGTTCTAGTGTTTAATAAGTCTTAAACATTTTTACAAGTTCGATTGAAATAAATAATCCATAGAACAGAAATAATCGATATCGATAAATAAAATCTAGGTGGACGTCGCATCGGCCAAATAGACGATGAATCTTGCTACCCAACCAAACGTTAAAATAATAGCTGTCAAATTATAAATTTTTCTGACACATTTTGACGACGTAAAAATATTCGCAAATGTAATTTCTTCATATTAATTCCACCATTATCTCTTAATTAGTCCCCAAAACCAATAAAAATAATGTAAATTAGGTTAGAGTTTCACTCAAGAAAATGTCGGTGTCAGTGAAAGAGTTTAGTAAGGCCTGGTGGTCGGAAGTATACAACAGGATTATCGGTGCTGCAGTGTATTTGGACGCTGCGAGTGCTGAGTGCCTGCACTGGGATGGAGGGCTTTTCAACTTGCTTGATGGAGGCGCGGTTGCGGTTAAAAGCCTGTCCCCATTTGAGGTATGATTTTGAACAGCTGTTAGAAGTCAGAAGATCATATTAAAATCACTTGTAGGACTTATTCTTTTGATATAATCTTTATTTATTCAAATTACATTGGCCTAACCTTATCAGAGTACCTACAAATAACATTATATTTATTTTTAAACTCGTATTGTTCATTACTGTAAATACTTTCAAACAATTATCACTGTATTTCATGAACCCTATTATAACTGTTGAAATGCTGACAACACCATATTTGCTTAACTTTATTCATTGTCTATTTTTTATTTCCAAGAAGTTTAATTTGAAAATTATGCTACTGTTTTCAAATCAAGTCAGATTTCAGGTTCTTATTACAGTAAACATTATTGTTCCATTTCCAGTTTTCAACCAAAGAACACAAGAAGGCTGTATTCATAACACAAACTACATCATTACAGCTACGTACAATATGTGATATAATACGTAACAGCGACTTCAGTCACTGCATATTGATATCATGTGTTAGCTTAGAGGTTGTGTATTTGGAATTAAACGAGGGGAAGGATGTGAGCGATGTGATAGCCGCTGGGAAGGTTCAGGCGGAATGTACGAAACAGTTGGAGAAGATGTTGCAGGAATGGATTGGAAAAGCTGTAAGTATTGCTAGAACTGCTGAAGGTCTTATTTATCAGTCAGATTAAATTTAAACTACACAGAATAAAACTATCCATTCATATGGATGGAATGCATGGAACAAACTGCATGCAATAGTTTCTGGTGATTGCTCAATTGTTGGTGAATATTTTAGGTTTGTCAACCCTTGCTTATCAAAAGACCATAAGTTTTAAAACTGTTACATTCAGATAGAATTTAATAATTCAAAAACAGGTGGTGTATCATATTTTTTTGCTTTTTTCTGATGAGAAACTTATTTCATTTCAGCAATGTGCAGTAGAAGTCGTTCACATACCAATCAGCACAATATGCCCCACCAGCGTTGTGTTTCTCACACCACCTCATCATAAAGTGTACCCAACGTACAGCGGGAAACTCATCCCGGACTCAGCCTCGATAGACTTGTACGGCCTCACCAGCGAAGAGAGGTCCCAAGTGAGGAGGCTGGCTAGCTGCCTTAACAGTATGATGGATTCCATGAGCTTGAAAGAGGATATATTTTATATGGGCACATACAGTTCTTTGGTGGCTGGAGTCTTGGAGAACTCGCCTGTTTGCATAGCTAGACGAAAGGTAGTTATTGTCGTATTGTAACTGTACAAACATTGGGCTTTTCAGATTCTCATTTCATACAAATGTAAAATAACCCTGCTACATGCATTGCTATAAGAGTATACCTTTATTGCAATATGGATTATTTATGATTCAACCACACCAACGCGTGCAGATCGCCATCGCCGGCGCGATCATAGGCAAATGTCAGGTCGCGCGACCCATGACAGTCCGTGTGGTTGAAGCTTTAATTGCCCCTTCATGGTTGTTGTTCCAATTTGTTTTTTATAAACTTTTTATAAATTTTAAATAAACTTTTCGCGTTCACGCTTTTCGCCCAGCCGAAAATGTTCGTTGATTTTAGACGACAAATGTATGAGTTTATCGTTTCAAATCGATAAAATGCCTCGATAAAATGATATTGGCGTACATCATAGGCTAGCTGGATAGCGTAATAGCGAAACCTTTATAACATTACTAGCTTTCCGCCCGCGGCTTCGCCCGCGTGGAATTTTGTCTGTCACAGAAAAACTTTATCGCGCGCGTCCCTGTTTCAAAAACCGGGATAAAAACTATCCTATGTTCTTTCCCGGGACTCAAACTATCTCTATGCCAAATTTCATCGAAATCGGTTGCGAGGTTTAAGCGGGAAAGCGTAACAGACAGACAGACAGACAGACAGACAGACAGACAGACAGACAGACAGACAGACAGACAGACAGACAGAGTTACTTTCGCATTTATAATATTAGTTGGGATCCTCCTTATTAATAAAAGTTACACCCTAGTTGAACTCTGGCTTAAATTGTCATTTAGTATGGAAATGTAATTTTTATCCAACTTTTTATTAATAAGGGGGTATAAATGTAATGTATCTCTATCATTATTACAGTACTGTACCAACCCAACATCTTTAGTCATAGTAGACCGCACACTAGACCTGTGTGGGGTGACCAGCCATTCCATGGAGTCTGTTCTGGATAAGGTGATGGCAGTACTGCCGAGGTTCCCTGGACATTCCAATGAGGTAGCCATCGACATGTCGCCGCTTTGCGAGGCTAATGTGTAAGTAAAAGATTTTTAACTTTCGTGTTCCATTTCAACTCGTTTTGAGACCCGTGTTTCTCTATTTTAGTTAATGTTTAAGTATATTTTACAAGTTTGTATAACTATATGCTGTAGGATAGTAGACCCCTATAATCCTATTATATTTACAGGTGTTATGTTCGCCTTATATGTATTATGCTTGGCTAGGCTCTTTTAATTAGTGCATCATAAATACTTTTTTGAATTGCTGACGTTCTACAGTTGACTTTGCATATCGCCACATCTGACTATACAATTTTATTGCAAAACTACACATACTATAAGTACATAAGGTGCTACGGTATTTACATCGATGTCCTGTGGTCTATACAGTTTAATTTTAACTTTTTTAGCATCTTCTATCTCAATAATTGGGAGCATGTCAAACAAACTTAATTCCTTAGCCCTTCATCATAAAGACCTTTTTCCCTTGCAGCATAAGCCACCCAGATGACGTCCAACTCAGCCCTGGTTGTTTGTACCACGCTAACGACGACTCCTGTATCCAAACCTTCGACCACATGATCAACAAATCCCAGAAGGAGGTCATGTTCGACCTGTACAATAAACTGTCCAAGATTGATGTTCAGAAGTCGCCAAGTCCCAAGACTTTGCTGAAAGTCACGCCGCAAAGCGTGGAAAAAATCGTCACTGCGTCAAAAGGTATGGTCGAACTAAGAAATTGTTTAAAATAGTAGAAGGAAGTTCAGTTTTTTGGTCAATAACATAACCACCATCACTTTGTTATTTTATAGTTAATACTCACTCATTCATCTATTGAACTACCCACAGTATTACGTATACATTTTAGACTGATGTGAGTACAGTGAGTATGTCATATGTATGAAAATATCAGGGTGTTCCGATTTTTGTACCATACCATATTGTTCCATCCACGACCTCTGCCATAATAGTGGAATGCTCAACAACTGCTCTAAAACGTCTCCAACCATTTATCCTCATTAGGGACCATAGGTGGAATTGTGTAAAGCAATCGTTATATTTGTACAGTTCATAACGTACGATTATTCTGTGAAACGCTTTGTTTAACTGACTTTATCGTACGTTATGAACTGTCAAATAATTACGATTGCTTTACACAATTCCACCTCGTGTAATATCTACACTCAGGTGATGGCAAAGTTGAGATCGGATATTGCCATATGAGAAAAAAAAGTCTATAATCATCAAATACATTTTGCAAAACATTATATCCAAAATAACCCGACGATCTGGTAAAGGTCGCGGGAAGAGCCTGGATGCGGGCAGCGCAGGACCGTTCATTGTGGAAAACCTTGGGGGAGGCCTTTGTCCAGCAGTGGACGTCATTTGGCTGAAACGAACGAACCTTCGTAAAACGTCATCTCCTGTCACAGGTAACTATGACATCATCAGCAAACACCTCGGCGTTCTACAGCAGGCACTAGCCGTGGTGCAGACTCTGAAGTCTCCAAAGCGCGCGCAAATCGAGCTGGTCAGCAGTCTGGAGCGTCAGGTCTCGCAGAACTTGGCCGCTAGTAGAGACTCTACCAGTGTTCTGCACCAGGTAAGAATTACCCTTTTTCTTTTAAGGGTGCGTCCACATTGGACGCACAGGCTCGCGCGGCACGCTGGTCATCCTGCTCACCCTGCTTTTGAGTGAGCAGGATGTCGAGTTTGCCGCGCGAGCCCGTTCGCCCAGTGTGGACGCACCATAAGAAGAAATTCTTTTACATGTGCTGAACACAAGAATTTAAATACTTAGGTTAGGGCTTCCGCTAAAACTGAGGGTGCATAGAGCGTCCACTCCCACCGCGCATGTTGAAATACGTCACACGCATGCGCTGCTCATACTGTTTTTCAATACAGACAAGGGTGATGGCGCCCGCGATAGACTTAGTATAGACCCACTTGTTCACTATCATGTTAGTGTTGTAGTACGAGAGCCCACGACCAAAACCATGTCTCATAGCAATACGGCAAAAACCCTATAAAATCGTTAGATTGTATGATTCTGAACCCGACTAGGTGTGTAGTAACGGTCGAAAGTGTAGCAACTGCGTTTCTGCTGTTTCAAAAAAAAAAAGACAGTCGGTATTATAGCAATACGTCTGATAGTGAAAATGTACATAGATTTTATAATTGTATTACGAAAAAGTTTGTTTTCAGACATTTTGCGCGTAGCATATAGCCTGAGCGAATTTTTGAAAATGTCAACAAATTTAGCCGACCTGTATACCTTTACGGGTTTGCACTACACCACTAACGTCTGAAAAATATGTTTCCGGTATCTCAGAACTATCATTCAACTACAGTCTGCAAATCAGACATATTGCTATGATGCAGTTCGGTAAAATTCTTTGACAATTCGGTCAGATCAAACGCTACGCGGAAAATGTCTGATATTGTTTTTTTCGAGTTCAGGATAATCGTATCTATCGATTTGATGCGGTTTTGGCCGTATTGCTATGAGACAAAAATTTTGGTCGTGGGCTCTCGTACTATTGGTAGAGTATGGTCAAAACTATCTCAGTTTACGCCTATAATATGTCACATCTGGAAATCATTCATTGAGTTTCGGATCTCCAAGATAAAAAAGTCTTTAAAGTATCTAACAAGAGATTCTCTTTTCGTAATTCCAGATCACCCACTTAATAAAGTCACGAAAAGACCGCAACCTCTCCCTAGAAAGTCTACTAGCCCTGCTCGTCCATATTTACTCTCTTACCGGGACCGAAGTCTCATTCTCCAAGCAACACGAAGACAGCCTCACCGAGACGTTGAGTGTTGCCATATTTGAAGACCACAAGGCACTGGCGCTCAACGACGACTCAGGGCACATAGTCACTCCTGAGCAGTGCGATGAGATGAGCAAGTCTGTGATGAGCAGGCTGAAGGATATAGCTCAGATGAGGAAGATTTTGAATAAGTAAGTGCATTATTATTTTCATTTGTTTATTCATTTTTAAACAATCAATAGGAAAAACAAGGATATGACAATTTAGTTTCCCTGCGTAACCGAATTGTAGTCGTTGAGGCGTTGTAAGGACGTCAAGGACGAAGCACACTTATCACCCTGGAAATTGATCGTACCGTATCAACTCGAGGCGTTCTTTATAAAAAACCCCGTCGTACCTACTGCACTGCAACGCACACTTATCCGCATCGTAATGTAAACGCCTCGCCTCCTGGTTGATAAGTGTGTTATGACTTGTAATCGTCAAAATTTGGTGTAAACAGGCCTCGGTGGACCAACGATCTAGTGAAGGTCGCGGGAAGCGCATGGATGCTGGCAGCGTAGGTAGGGTTGGTCATTGTAGAAATCCTTGAGAGAGGCCTTTTTTCTTCTTAGTTTAAATTTTTTGCATGAATATGTGCAATCATGATGTACGTAAACAGTCAAGATACGTACTTTAAGCTGTTAAACGTTGTCACCCAATAGATTGGCGCAAGTATGGTCTCTCACTGGCAATGTTTACTATTTCCAGATACCAATCGGTGCTGAAACCTTGTGAAAATGGCGTGGGTCACGAGTACAAGGGTCTCCTGCAGCAGTTGGTGGACGACCTGGTGGATACAGAGCGTCCCGAGACGCCCGACCTTCGCCACAGGAATGAGGGCATCAAGGACCTCTTGCGGAGTGGACTCAAGTGAGTGGCTTAATTGTATTTTCATAAATGGTGTCGGTCACGAGTACAGGGGTTTCCTAAGCAGCTGGTGGACGACCTGGTGGATACAGAACGCCCGGAGACGAACTACCTTCGCCACAGGAATGAGGGCATCAAGGACCTCTTGCGGAGTGGACTCAAGTGAGTTGGTTAATTGTATTTTCCTAAATGGTGTGGGTCACGAGTACAAGGGTCTCCTGCAGCAGCTGGTGGACGACCTGGTGGATACAGAACGCCCGGAAACGCCAGACTTTCGTCACAGAAATGAGAGCATCAAGGACCTCTTGCAGAGTGGACTCAAGTGAGTTGGTTAATTTTGTTTTTATTCCACTAGTGTGGAAGTTGAAAGGGTTATTGCTGCAGGCCAGCTATTATTTAGAGTCGCATATTCGAAGCAGTCTGCTGAAAACATTAGCACATTAGATACTTTCTGTTTAATACGTTAGCATTTCCAACAAGAGAAACAGAAGTACCTACATAGTTTTTTCGTTAAAATATTTTAATACGTTTTTCTTTACACAACATTCAACAAGGCCTTTTGCCTTTTCTTTAGGCCAATAGGCTACACTTTCTGGATCCCGCGAATTCCGAGATCCCGTGCGATTGATCCCGCAAATACATAAATAAAACATGCGGGATTGGATGTCCCCTTTGCAAAGTCCTAAACTTATTGCCCAAACGTTAAAAAATGTTTCTGGAACTTGCAGCGCTATCTATCGGAATTCATTTGTAAATCTAAATAAATAAACAAAATATTGAGTAACTATAAGTCATCTATCTTTACGAGGGCTGCACTAAAAGTATCGGGAATGGAATATTTCCACTGTTCCAGTCATATTAAAATCTATTTAATTGCAAACTCCAGGGTTTTAAAAATCGTATACCATTTATTTATTTAAAAAAAGATTCTCGGTCGTATCACAAGGTCTTGTCAAACTTGTTTAGTCGTTGAGAAAATGGAATTGACTCGAGAAAATTCAAGAGCGATGATTTATTATGACTTTTGAAGTGGTTTAACACAAAAACAGTGTGTTGACCGGATGATTTCTGCATTTGGTAATGAAGCCCCATCCAAAACCACAATTTATCGCTGGTTTCCTGAATTTCAACGTGGACGTGTCAAGCTCAGTGATGATCCCCGTCAAGGTCGTCCAAAAACTGCAGTCACCTAAGAAAACGTTGATGCTGTGCGTAAGCTGATTGAAGAAGATCGACATGTGATATACCGCGAAATTCAGGCAACTTTAGACATTGGCATGAGTCAAATACAAATAATCTTGCATGAACAATTAGGTGTAAAAAAGTTGTTTTCCCGATGGATACCGCATTCGCTCTGTGAAGAGCAAAAAGCGGCTCGCGTTACTTGGTGCGTCAGAACTCTCGGGAGATTACATGCAGGATCCTCAAATGCTGTATACAACATCGTATCAGGTGACGAATCATGGATATACGCGTACGAACCCGAAACAAAAAACCAGTCACGAGTTTGGGTGTTCGAAAATGAATTAAAGCCAACAAAAATTGTTCGTTCACGGAGTGTTGCAAAAAAAATGGTGGCCACGTTTGTCTCCAAAACCGGCCATGTTGCGACTATTCCTCTTGGGGGACAAAGAACGGTTAATGCAGATTAGTATGCTAGCATTTGTTTGCCACAGGTCGTTTCTGAACTCCGTAAAGAGAACTGCAACCGCCGCATCATCCTCCATCACGACAATGCGAGTTCTCACACCGCGCACTGAACAAAAGAGTTTTTAGAGCAAGAAAACATAGAATTATTAGTCCATCCGCCGTACAGCCCCGACCTAAGCCCTAATGATTTCTATACTTTCCCTAAAATAAAGAATAAATTGCGTGGTCAGAGATTTTCATCACCTGAAGAAGCTGTGGAAGCCTACAAAACGGCCATTTTGGAGACCCAAACTTCCGAATGCAATGGTTGCTTCAATGATTGGTTTCGTGTATGGAAAAATGAGTCAAATTTCGCGGAGAATACTTTAAAAAGCAATAAATACATTTTTAAATAGCAATGTTGTTTCACTTTCTTGATTCCCGAAATTTTCAGTGCCGCCCTCGTATGGCACGCACACGCACTCTTATAGATCTTTAACATCGTTGTACAGAAAACTTCTTTAACTGACGAATTCTATTAATAATTTCCAGCATCCTAACGAGTAAAAAAGCTCGGAGCACGAAACATCCGTTCGACAATCCGACCGTCATAATATTCGTGATCGGAGGCATCACATCTGAGGAATGCAAGCGGTTACACCGCAGTGTGATCACCAGTGGAGTGGACAATACTGTCCTGATCGGTTCCACTAAGCTGGTCACCCCAGTGGAAGCTATGCGGAACGCTTTGGCGTTATAGCGACTCAGGAATGCAGCGTAAACTGCTGGTATACTGCTGATACTGAAGCGAGGCACAACTGAGAAAGGAATGGACAATACTGTCCAGTAGCTTTATTCACGTAACAAAATTTCAACGACCACAAATCGCTGAGTTGAGTAATCGTTCTATCGAAATGACCCTTGTGAATACGGATTTAGAACTGTTTTTCAATAGGACGACTTCTAAACGTCAACGACATTTTGACTGTTTCAAAATACGTGAATTAGGCCACTGATCTGTTTGACTAACTTGCTCACCCCTGTGGAAGCCAGGCCGGCCCATGTAGGATGCTTTGGCGTTATAACGACATAGGAGTGCATAAAAACTACAGCCCCCCTAGACAAAACGCACTTTTTGATCGAATCGAAAATCGAATCCGTCAAAACTCCATACAAAAAAGGGGCTTTTCGACCACTTTTCGACTGGTTTGCGATTATAATTTGCACTTTGTCTAGACCCGCTGGTACTGTGAAAGTGTGAATCGACAAAATATTTGACAATTGTAGTGTCAAAGCTGTCACAGCTTAGTGTAAGTTTTCTACCGCAGCGTAGTTATACTCGTAATGTAGTGGATAGTTGTCCTGATCGGGTACCTATGATCATGATCACATATACAGGGTGTTTCTTTGCTAAATCCTAAAAAAAGAGTCAAAACTACTACTTTTTCTACGAAACCAACATCAATTTTTTCAAGATATTATATGGAGCAGCTGATAATTTGTATTAAACGTTTTTTTCCTGTTAACGGAACCAAGTCTCTTAGGGAAATTAGTTGCAGTGTAGTAAAAGAATCAATCCTTTTCGTTAGACCACCTGACACAGAAACACCCTGTATTGTTAGTTTATTGTTTGGTGACTGTAATGTCTCGGTCGTGTTTTACCGTAGTGTTTGTAACAGTACAGTCATACCAAATTGATCATATTAGTAGAAAGTGGAATGACGCAAAAGACAAAATTGTCTGTATACTCGTAATAATAATAACAGGGCCTCTAGTTAATGTAAAACAGTACGTCGAATATTTTCAAAGTGTTCAGTTTACACCTTAAAACCTAATTTAGGGAGTTAGCGAAACAATGAAGAAATTAATATCATGTCGGACAATATTGATAGCTCGCTAGCCGAATAATATAAGTGTAATAATTGTAACTTTAAACGTGATAAATACTTTATATCGTATTTAATTGCTTTTATATAATAGTCTGACTTAAAAATTATGTATAGTTACCGAATTCTTGCAAAGTATATTGTTGCTTCTAAAATTACATTGATTAATTTTTTGTTGGAGCAGAGCTCAATATTAGCGCGCAGCGTTTACCATTATATTATTAAGGTATATTATTTTTGTTATTATTTATTTATACATAAAGTGTAAAGTGAATGGTTTGCATTATTTGTATGGGTGTTTGTAATTAAGTGCAATGCAATTACAATGCAGATTCTCAATAAACTTTTTCATCGTAGAAAAACTTGTTTTTTAGTCCTATAATTAAGTTCATTTTTTCCGGAATTACTCCTAAACAAAAAATCATAATCCTGATATCGGACTTATGCATCTAATTTTGCTCAATCCATGATACTGAATAAACATTTCTTCTTTCTTTGGCTTGACGTGGTCTCAGTGATGCACATAATTAAATTTTTCGAATAATTCAACTGAATACGTACCCAGGAACTCTGAATCTTTAGATAAGTAAGTTTGTGAAAAAGGAGGAATAAATAAAACACATATTAACATGTAAAATTTATTAATAACGACTGCATACCTAGTATAGTCATACGTGGTATTGGATACCGATAAATTACTTAATACTGCAGTAGTACTGGGAGCGGCGGGCACACTTGAAGCATTCGGACATACATTGTGACACTTTCATATTATAGACACTCATTCTATTACAGCTAGGTTTAGACGAACGATATACAAGCTTATATTTATGTAAGAAATGTTACTGTGGCTTTTTTACACTCGAAGGACCATAATCTTTTTGTGCGTATGTTTGTGACTAACGCCCGTATTCACAAACAATGCTTGCTTTAGTAAAGCAGCAAATCGAACGCACAGCATTGAATAGAGCTCTGTGTGGTTCGTGCGTGTGTCACCCTGTGCGTCCACGCGCACTGGGAGACCTCATAGTAATGTTTGTAAATACGGGCGTAATTGTAATTAGCTTGTAGAATTGCTCGTCCAAAATTAGCTTACAACTATTGATCATCTAATCTAACAATAAGTCAGAATTATTTGTAAAGTAAATGCTAGGTTTGTAAGAACGCATTCTTGGCATCTTAATTTAGTATTAAAAATGGACATTCAATGAATATTATGTACAAAATGTATTTCTGTTCCTTCTTTCAAAAAACTTATTCGGCCTCAGATTAAAAAATGAGTTACTGGGAAAAGTGTTTTAGATGACCATAAGGTCGAATATCAAATATCACCTAAACGAGATTCAGACTTGTGATATAGATAATTTTAGAATCCTATTCTAAAGATACTCTATCTATCACATTCCTTATGTTTCCGAACAACCGCACCATTTTACCATTCATAATTGCCGAGCACATTTCAGACTATAAGTTTAATTTAATTATACTTTCACTTAAAGAATGTAATATTGTCGCATTTTTGTATCAGGATAAAACAAGTTGCATGTTAGGATTGAGACTGAGACAAGATTCTTATACCGACAACACTGATATCAAGACATCTCTACTTATTTCCAAAAAGACTGGTTTTAAGATTACTCTCTAATGATTTACTTGTTCCTGTCTCTGTAGTATTACTAACTCTGTCCCAAGGGTAGGCTCTATAAAATTTGAGATATTATACATTAAATATACCTTTGTTGCTTCATCACAAAAGGACCTATCGTACTTTTATTGAGCGTTCCAATACAATACACGATTTTTAATTGTTTTGAAGACTGTTCGATCAAATCTGTAGGCCAAGTTAAGGTACAGTTATGCATGCTCATTACTAGCACGAAAGCATACCATTATTGTGAAATTGCTACATAGTAGCATGTGTGTCGAAACATTGGTAATAATAAGCATGCTCATTTCGAATTGTTTAGCACGCTCGTTTTAAGCATGCTAATTTTAATGTTGAAATGACTATCAAAATCAATCTTCGAGCAAACATATAGGGCCGTTAATTTTTAGGTAATCATAGAGCCACCCTTGACAGTTTCCCTGGACTATCTAGTCCATACCAGCCACGTCCCCGCCTTTTCTGAAGTCAGCATTGGCGAAGATGCCAGTCCTGTTTCGGTAAAGGGCGCAGACTATGGAACCCCTGCCTCTGTAGCGAACCATGCCGTGGCCTTTCTCGCGAAGGCCCCTCACGATATCCTGAAAAAAGAGGTGTATAGTGATTAGGATAAAAAACTTTAGATGGAAGTACCTACTTAGACAGAAGTACTTAAAAAATAAAAAAATATATGATTATAGTCTTAAAGGTTCTGTATGTCCCATTGCCTTAATCGGACGGTACGTACTTTTGATTTGAATACATAACACTCTTTTAAATGGCAGTTATTTTACTGTTGAATTAAAATTACTTATACAGGTTCTACTCTAAATTCTTTTATCAATAAGTAGGTAGTACATAGTTTATATGATTTAACGTGCAGTTGTACATCAGAATACTTTTATTCCGAAATCCTATGCCACAGAGTTTAGGTTGTTCTTCAGCCATTCGAAGTTTAACGCCCGTATTCACAAACATTATATTACTATTAGGTCTCACAGTGTGTGTGGACGTACAGGGTCACACGGTGACACACAAACTAATCACAGCTCTATTCAACGCTGTGCGTTCGATTTTCTGCTTCCCTTAAGCAAGATTCGTTTGCGAATACGGGTATAACTTTGTTGACGATGGAAGTAGTAGTTATTGTATACTAACCTCTACAACTCCAAACTCGTACTCCACAGTCATTGGGAAGATCTGGTGGTGGATGCGGGCCTCATCCACGGCCTCTTTGATGGTCTGGTCGAACCACAGCTTGCGTATTATCACCTGTTAAAACATTGGGTTTGTTATTGCGCGGAAAGTTCATAACAATACTGGTATTGCTGCATATTTAATGTATGTTTCATCATCTTTCATTGTTTGCTTTTCGATATGATCGATTTTATTTGTGCGATGTCCACATGCTTTTGTAAAATGTTATTATTTAAGACCCAGTTAGGTAGAGAACTAAGGTTTACAACTTCTTTCCCTTCATATACCACTTGTATAGAATATCGACGATACTAAGCCCGTTCCTCTTCTAAAACCACAATACTATAACCCTTCATCTAACTTTAAACTATTTGCCAGTCAGTTAAGTCTTCTTTCAATTAGTCCAAATACTTACTCTAATAAAAAAGTTGGTCCAAAGATTCGGACTTTGTCAAAAATTTCCTCATACTATACTATTATTACGCTCCACTTTCTACCAGGACTTACCATAGCAACAGCAGTCGTGATCTTCGTGCCCCCAGAGGCTCCGATCACCATCTTAGCGTTCCCCATGTTATCTACAATGATGCTCGGGCTCATAGACGACAGAGGGCGTTTGCCCGGCGCGATGAAGTTGGCAGGAGAAGGGTCCAGACCGAAGGAGTTCTTGAAGCCAGCAGAAGAGAAGTCGTCCATGACGTTGTTCATCACTATACCCGTATTGAGAGTTGTGAAACCGGCGCCGAAGCTGGAAAAGGTTGAACTTTTAGGTCTTGGTAGTGGTCGAAATATTTTGAATCTTATTGAGTTGGTGTAAGATCTTTAAAAAATCGTAAGATTCCAAAATACGAAAATAGTGTTTGGGAACATCTCTGCTGTTTTCGAGACGCCATAATTTCTGTACAATTTAGGGTGGATTCGATTCGACCAAACAACGGTAAATTCTAAAAATATCTTAGAATAAATCGTCAATAATTTTCATATATTTCCCATACTGAAACTGTCAATGTGCCAGTTATACCAGGAGTTATTCTCGGATAAAAGTTTGGTCGAATCGGGCTTTAATCAAGCTTATTATTTCAACAAAATAGGTACTGAGAAAAGAGCAGCTGCATTACTGTCCAAGACATCTGACTCAAACATCTTGCTTATGTTTTGAATATCCAGTTTTCAACGACTGCAACATTGTCATTCCATCTTTAGGCTAAGGTCACATTGGTCATGCGATCTGCGTCTACATCGAGACCATTATGGAAAACAGACGCAACATTCGATAACCTCTGAAGAGATATTTGTTGTACTATAAACATCAATATTTTGACGTCACTTATTAAATTATGTATTTCTGGGAGTGAAACAAGCGGAGACAATATTTAGTATGTATTACTACCCTACTTCTAATTGATTTGAAATAGTCATAGTGTGTCAGAGCCTTTAGTCGGTGATTACAAAAATGTTGTTTGCGTCCAAATTCACTGACGACATCTTACACTTTATTATAAGTGCTATTTTGTTCTGTGTCTGGTTGCTGCGTCGTCAATTCTATGACCCCGCGAGTACTTAGGTTACTGCACCCGTATAAGGTTGTTTGACTACATACTTCTAAAATTGGTGAAGATATTCAAGTAAGTACATAATGTATTCATAAAAAAATTCACTTGCAAAAAATACTGCCTCTGTACCACTGTACGGAGAAATTGGTAAACCTGTCGTTTCCAAATGTGATGCTGAAGGTCGTGGATTACAGTCCTACGTAAGGCAGTTTATTTTGGTGAATCATCTTGCTTCAGATATTCTTATTTGGTGATCTTTGGAAACAAGAACATGACCTAATACTTAACTTCGAACTTTGTTCTTCTGATTAAGTTCGTTGCGGGTCTAGTTTAAGGGTTTTTATTGATGGTCAAGCTGTAGATCGCTACACAGGAGTTGCAGCGGTGGGAATGAGAGGTTCCCAATAGTCCCGTATACCTATTTGGCATTACAAATGCAGAAATTCCAACTAAATTCCAAGTATCCTTACTAGAAGTTGATGGAGCTGGTGACAGATACAGCGTCTCCGTTGCCAGCTATGATGGAGATGTGGGCGGTGCCGGCATCCTCCTTGGTGTAGCGCACGGCCCCATACACGCTGGAGTCATTGCTGGTATGGGCATCATTGATCTTCTCTCGGATGGAATCGCCGAACTCTGGTCTTGACACGTCGGCTATCAGCTGAAAAAATATAAGTTTTTGGCGTTAAGGTTACGGAGGGTAATTATGGAGTGATCGATGTGCTTATGGTTTGAAAGAGCCACGCCAGACGTTAGGTATTTGTTACAGGTTTATCCTTTCATATACACAACTATTCAAATTTTGGGATAAAGTAGTAATGGATTGAGAAACATTATCAACAAATAACATGCTTCGTTAGGAGGTAGAAACTTCCAAAAACTTTTCAATGTAGATAAACAAAGTAAATAAATATCGACAGCAATTCCAGATAGGTATTACCTAACTACCAAGTCTGTAAGATAAGACTTGCATTTTTATTTTTACATCTTTATCATCTTTATACAAGTATACTTACCTACTATAGGTAAATAAATGATCTGAGTTATTGCGTTTAACTACGTGACTCACAATATGCAAGCCAAGTAAATGTTACACCCACTGACAAAATATTTTGAATCAGCGAACGTAATTCATGCTGAATAGCTTAAGAATTCTGCTGATTTCAATTCAACAGAAAAATATGTTAATGAGTCAATGAAAAATGAAGATATTTTGTGGGACAAATTAAAATTTACAATAAAAAGTCGTTTCCTGGTGGAATTTTCATAATATTTTTCTGATGAACTAGCTAATGATCATCAGTTTTTGTGAAACATAACTATAGGAACCGTCTCAATTAAGTCCTTATTGAAACTAAAAACACAAAACCAATAACAGTTCATCTAAATTTAGAAGCTATAATTCCTCATCCACAGACTCTTTCTTACCTCGTTCAGATCCAAAAAGGCCGCATCTCCCAGCTTAGTCCTAGTTGCGTACGCGTACTTGAACGCTTCAATAATCCTGTGGTACGACAGCACCTTGTCCTGCGTGCTGTTGATACTGTCCCTGGTGAACTTGTATCCTTTAAGCACATTAAGGATGTAACCCAGGATGAGCCCGCTGCTAGGAGGGGGAGGGGCGTAAAGGGTGTCCCCGCCGCCGATCGAGAATGAAATCGGCTCGCTGATCTTGGCCCTGGTGGAAAGCGGGCAAGTGTGAGTCAGGTTAGCGCACGCTAGTCCATGATATCGTATAATGGACTCACGAAGGCAAGTGAGCTTATTTGTGTGTGTACGTGTACATGCACATAACGATAGTGTAATGTCTATCAAAAGTTTTGAAAAACTAACAGTAGCGAGCCACCACACGTGTATAGCACACTCGCCTTCGTGAATTGCAACAACAATGTACTTTTATAAAAAGGGAAACCTGTCATGAGCTATACAGGGTGTCCCGTAATGTAACGTCAAGCCGGAACTGGGTGTTGAGGCAAGTTGTGCTGGTTATCAGAAAAATATAAAAAGAAATCTATGTGGCATATTTTAAAAATAATAGGCATTTTAAAAAAATCAAAAAATTTTACTCCAGGTGACGGTCCTTTTACTCGTGTTGCCACAAATCTTCACTTTTTCCAAATTTTTTTTTTGTTTTGTAACCCTGAATAATGCTTCTCTAAATTGTTATCAAAATTACAAAACCAGCTGCTCCAACTTGGATGAAAAAAATACATTATTCCCAAAAAAAATATCAAAATAAAAATTTTGCCTAGTTTAAACTGACTGTACTGAAAAAAAAAATGTACTACGCGAGTGTGGCAAGTGACGTCATAATTTGGCGCATTTAGTAAGGATTCCAAAATGGTATAACACTTTGTAAAATCTTGCTGTAACTGTCGACAATTTTTATTTATTGGAAATAATCCCGTTTTTCATTTTATCTACCTTGGTTAAAAATATTATTCTAATGTGCCCAAAATTCAAGTTTCTGGCTTAAGTGAGGTGGAGAAGTCATTTTAAAAGGTATGAGCGGGACGGAGAGGGCCATCTTACTAAGCAGGGATGTTATGGATATCCGTAACCGTAACCGAAACTATCGGATATCCGAAATAAAAAAATATCCATAACCGTAACCGAAACTGATTCAAAAGTTACGGATAGTTTCGGATAAAGGCCAAACTCCAAAACTCTATGAAATCTGCAGTATACACGCCACAGCTGCAATGCCGCGCTGCCGATTTCATAGTTTTGCAGTTTGCGGTTGCAGTTTGCGGTCTGCGGCCCGTCTTGGAATTGTACCTTAAAATATCTTAATATTTGTTACCAACTTGTCTGGCATTCGCTGGCACCATCTAATATGCCAGCCTCTTTTACCTTTATCATACATAGGTGTCGTCTTAGTTGGTACATAAAGTAGCTATGTGGGTCACGCAGCATCTTGCTATTTGAATTATACCTACTTTTTTGAAATTCTAATAATTCCGTAACTGAAATTATCCGAGACTTTCGGATAATCTGAAATGATTTCATATCCGTGACCGTAACCGAAAACGGTATAATATTATTCTAATATCCGTAACCGTATCCATAACCGAAACTTCATATCCTTATTATCCCTGTTACCAAGTACAAGTGCAGGCAGAGCAGGTAGTAAAGGCGCGCGCGCAAGGGGTGACTTTTGTCACAGTATGTCAACTACTAATTACTGTCATGGTGACAAAAGTTTCTGTGACTGACTGTACGGTAGAAGTCACAGAAACTTGAATTTTGGGCACATTAGAATAATAATTTTTAACCAAGGTAGATAAAGTTAAAAACGGGACTATTTCCAAAAAACCAAAAATTGTCGACAATTACAGCAAAAATTTACCAAGTGTTATACCATTTTGGAATCCTTACTAAATGCGCCAAATTATGACGTCACTTGCCACACTCGCGTAGTACAATTTTTTTTCAGTACAGTCAGTTTGAACTAGGCAAAATTTTTATTTTGAATTTTTTTTTGGAAATAATGTACTTTTTTCATCCAAGCTGGAGCAGCTGGTTTTGTAATTTTGATAACAATTTACAGAAGCATTATTCAGGGTTACATAACAAAAAAAAATTTGGAAAAAGTGAACATTTGTGGCAACACGAGCAAAAGGACCGTCACTTGGAGTAGAATTTTTTGATTTTTTTTAAATGCCTATTATTTTTAAAATATGCCACATAGATTTTTTTTTATATTTTTCTGATAACCAGCACAACTTGCCTCAACACCCAGTTCCGGCTTGACGTTACATTACGGGACACCCTGTATACTATCAGTCTAAATCTTATAACTAACATTTTCAATGTATCGCTGTTGGTTTCTATAAATAAATAAATAAATAAACTACTCAGGGTGATAAACAAAAAACATTTGCGTTGGGTATTGGTGTTTTGTGAGAATGGAAAGTTCCAGTCTTCTTAGATATTATTTCATGCCATAACGAACTTAGTTCGTCTTGATAGACCATTTATAAACAGTTGATAGTGAAATGAAAACAGCAGCACAATATTTGTCCACACAATTCTTTCTTTCTTTTTAGAACATTTGCGAGTGCAATTTTGATTTACACGTTTACACTTACAATTTTCTCTTGAAATATTTAGCTTAATATCAAGAAATGCAATTATTTTCAGCGACCATTTGGATCACTTCATTTGCTATATAGCTTATCATTCATAAAATAAATAATTTCAACATATTTTTAAATATTACAATAGGTACCATTATTTTATAACAGTGCATATAAAGTGACTCATTTACTTATAGCTGGGTATTATGATACATTTTCTAGAATATTTGTACAGGTGCTGGAGTATTTTTCACATTTCAACAATACTTAGTGCGCTATATTTGCGATACCACACATAAACCGGGTAAGAATTTTTTATGAGTCATTAAGACATGAATTTACGATAGCATTATCGCTATTATACATGGAATGTTAATCAAGTGAAACGCAGTAAACTTGGAAAACTTGGCTTGTTACATTTCGTTTAATTAAATGTACCTACCTAAATTACAATTCATACAGGGTAGGTACAATTTCGATATAGATATGACTGGCAAAGGTGACTAACGCTAACATTCGAAGACAGCAATCACTTAAAATCCATACCCGAACATTTTGGTCGGTGAAACGTGATTTTGTCTTTCTATGGCGACTCCCAAATATCTGCTGTATTTAAGTGTAAAATACTTATTTAATTTAAGGCAATCTCTATAAATATCTTTAGTGAAAATAGGTATGTTTCTTACGCCACTTCTCAGCGTATATAAGTTGGTATTGGACTTGTATATATTTGAGACGTGCTTTCCCTTAAAAGGATCTATCCTACTACTTAATATAGAATTAGAATTTGATGTGTATCGAGATTGACCCAAACTCGTACCTGGACTTAGTAGGCTTATAATAAGGTACTTAGCCAGGCTGACTCTACCTACACTTAAGAAGCTCATATTAATTGTTGGCAGGCTTGAATCTATGTTCTAGTTTTAATCGAGATTTTATTGATGTTAACAATGATTATTTATCAATTAAAAACTAATTTTATTAATTACTACAGATATCGAGTAACAACAGAATCGTAACATTATCGTCAGTTATTACCTACTACTACTTCCTGCAACTCATTTTGGTTAGAAAGTTAGTTTTCCTCAAGTTACAGCTTCTGAATTCGATTTCCAAATGGTTCACACACTTTACTAACTTACTTAGTGGTGAGTGGGAGATTAATATGCGATAATAAAAAGCGTGGGTAGGAAATTAATGTGCTGAAATTAATCATGTCCTCAATGTTTATTTACAACCTCTTTATCAGTAATTGCTTCGAATTTTGTTTAATAACATACTTAATACCTACATAAGTACGACTTACATTCGTATCTTGAAATGATAAAAATGTTTTGGCTTCTAGTGCAGTGTTTAATAATTGTTTTTTTTACTATCCACAATACTTAATTAATAAACTTACTGACCAATTAAAAACGTTCCTGACCTATTAGTCGGAGTCAAGAGTTACACGGCTGCAATAAAAAAGTTTTTAAGCCCGATTGGATCAAATCATGACAGAGTTCTCAACTCTGTCATGATTTGATCCAACTGATAGGGAAACGATGAGTAGGTATACGGTTCTCAAACTTTCGGACTTTCATGCTGTAATGGTGTCTTGCAATTTGTCAGACCTCGAAGCTGTAGACAGGTACCTACTTATATCCCGAAGGTGTTAATTAGGTAAGTACGAGTGGTAGGTACACCAGTGGAATTATTTTGAAAGGAATCTTCCCCACTACAGCAGATATCGGCTTATAAATAGGTTTGATGATATTAGAAACTTTATATCATGCGCTTAACCAGGTTATTGATAGCAGATATGGTACCTACTTACTGCTACTGCTCCTATCTTTCAATTATGATAAGACAACATGAATAGATTATTTGAAAACCAGTAAAAGCTATGTACCTACATACGTTTGAAAGTTAAGCTTTCATCTGACGCGCGACTCATAGATTTCAATAGCTTTGTCCCCCATTGGTGGATATAGATATTTTCTCATGTCACCAGTGGACAAATTTTGGGGGACATGAGGTAGGATGGACATTATTATCAGAAGAATTGAGGTTCAAAGTTTGGGATTGATGAAATGAGCTTGAATTTATTATGAAGGTTACTTACTCGTAGTTCCTCAGATCGTCAGCGGTGATAATGCTTCCAGCTCTTTTCAGGTCATCCAAGAAGTCGTTCGCCAGACTTCCATTGTAGAGCTCGTCTCCTCCCTTCTCGGCGATCCTTCGGAGGGTGTTGCAGTAAGCCTCTGCCGGCTTCACGATCACTCCAGGCTTCTGGAACTCCTCTTTCCTGAACTTGTCTTGTGTGACGTATACTTTGCTGGAAGACAAAAGGGAAACCACGAAATTATTAATAAAATAAGTAGGTAAGTATTTGGTATAGCGGCTATTCTACTATGCCTTCCCGTCTCTCATTCCGATCTCTGTAACTCCAGTTATAGGATCTATAGTTTGTTGTTGCCGAAATAAAATTAAAAATTTATTTTACGAGGGTTTTTATGTAAGTTTCGATGGGAATGTCATGCCCAAATGTGAATGGAGCTTTCGAATTTTACGAGAATCTAAAATCGTGATTTTATTATTTCATATAGCTAGTGACTTCAGTTTTTACGTCATTGCCGGAACAAATGTATTTTTAAAGTTATTTAAGTTAAGTAACGAAAATTCGCACTCGATATTGCTGGTAACGCAGAAATTAGAAACGTACCTAATTTAATTACTGAAATCCTTTACGAAAGAAAAGAAAGTAGCCTAATCCCTAAAGTAGATTATGAGTAGATAGGTACCTAGTTGATTTATAGGTATTGTCGGTTACGAGTAATAATATAATCTGAAACTAATTAATTAGGTAAGTTTGCTGAAGAATGTGAAAGATATGAATTCTTAGCCTAACAACAATGTAACTTCGTTTTAACAAAAACTCAAATTTTCTCTTCTAGGCTTAATAGAGAAATGATACGTCAATACAAACACAATAAAAACCTTTCAACTAAAACTGTTAAACTACCTTTCTACTCATTTATGAATAAAAGATAGTCTTTAACTATTGCTGCTAAATAATTAAAAGTTAACTGAACATTTAAATGAACCCACCTGAGGTTAGGGTCATTCTTGATCCAGGAAGCGGTATTGATGCCATCATAGAGCGCCTTGGAGATCTGGTAGCCGTTCTTGCAAAAGTCCAGCGTTGGGGCGACCAGGCTTTCCCACGGGAGGCGACCCCATCGCTGGTGAGCTGCCCACATACCCCGGAGTTCTCCTGGGACTCCCACTGCTAATGGACCTGGGAGGAAAAGCGTTCTTATTATTGGGACTATTTTTGCGTCTTGTTACCATGGCTGCTACTAGTGTATATGTAGTCATCCGTAGTTTAACTGTTATTATTAAAGACTAAACCATCAAAGGCCAAGAGGGTAAGATGGTTCGAATTGGAAAGCTGAACTGTCACCAATGACTACGATCTCCACCATACTTACCCGCAGCGAAGTTAGGTATTCAGAAGAAAATAGGAGCAGTGTAAAGTTCATCAAGTTTTGTCTAACTTTTTGAATTATGCGGTGGGATATAATTAATGTACAATTTGGAAATAAGTAAAGTGTATCTAATTGGTACATTGCTGACTTATCAACCCTAATAAAAAAAATAGGATTTTGTGCTTCAGATCAGAGGTTACGATACAGCTATGACCGATAAGTACCTATACAATGTCAGAAGGAAACTCGGTTGTTACACCTGACAGTAGAAGGACGAAGAAGTATAATTTAATAGACGACTTTGATTCCTGATCTACCAAACCAAACCAAAATCTGATTATTTTAAAAGTCGCACGCATGAAGCCGCGGGCGCGGGCGCAGACAGCCTTCCGAACCAGATGCAAGAGAAAGCTCGGGTGAAATTCGCACGAGTTAGCCCGAGACGTTCTCTATTGGGTGTCATGGTATTAATTGTGGCAGTTGCAATGCACTGGTAGTTGCGTAAGCGTCGAATAGGTATTGGCAATTCATCAATAATGATCGGGAAATGTAGGATATTGGCACACCAATTTTCACCCCAGATTCATGTGCATTATTATTTATTTGATTAGGTAGTACCTATGTTAAATTTATGTAAATGGTAGTTACAAATGTCTATTGGATTGGATCACACCATTTTCACACTAATAATGTAAATTACTTTTAGTTAATTTTTAAACACATTTTATTTATTATATCCTTGAAAAAAACCTGTAAAATTAGATTTTCAACAGCTAGCTCTGTTCTATGTACAAAATTGACCTGCATGTAGTACCTACTCTATGAAATTGGATACAAGACAATATATTCACATAAAACACACGCAAATAAACTCCGCAGTGGTACTCGTAACAATTACCGTGATATTGTGTAACATAATCGCTTGATGACTTTCAACAACGCGGGAGAGAGCACTTTATGTAAGTGCACACATGTTCTAATTTACATGAAAACATTTATGAGTACCGGTAACATGACTAAAAAATCAAAGTATTTTTTAAAGATTTTGTACCTAAAGGATGCAAACAGGACTGTCTGACTGTAGAGGTGAAGGTGGAAATGACATATTATGTGGCAAAAACATGAATTTATTATTAAAATCGTCATATTCATTAGCACCATAAAGTCACCGTCAATGGTATCATGTCGGTTCATCGTTCTATATTTCAGAAATAATATATTATGTTTTTCAGTCGCATATTATTCACTCTTTATTTTAACAGCACTTTTGTAGACTGTTTGGACAATTGTTGCGGAGAACAATGTAAAATTAATTACAGAAAGTAATACGAAACGCCTAGACTAGAACGATGATAATAACAAACATTCCAGGCACATTTTAAAATAATTTGTGTATTCATCTACGTGACTATTCAACAATAATAGATAATAGTCTAACTCTAATGAGAACTACTATTATTTGATTGTTTTCTTATACTACCATTATGGTGACCTTAAAAGTCGGCGGACTGAGTTAATATTATTTTAGTCACAAATTGCTTTATGTAGAGCACAATGTATCATCATTTAGATGGAACCATGTCAAATGTAATTTACTTGACCACCAATATGACATAAATAAAACATTAATGACAATTGTTAACTGGCTAAATTCTAATAATTTAAAAACAAATATTGACAAAACATGTTACATAAATTTTAATAATTCTATACAAAATATGAACATAAGTTATCAAGGACAAGTACCTACTCAAACATGCAAATAGTGTTAGATTTCTGGGTATAGAAATAGATAATAAATTAAATTGGAAACAACATGTAGACAAGGTTTGTAATAAAATTAACAGATTTTCATTTGTTCTGTACAAATTAGTAAAAACAGCAACAAGGACAACAGCTCTCACAGCCTATTTTGCATATGTCGAATCAGTGCTTCGTTATGGGCTGATTATCTGGGGAAACAGTACTGATTTGCAAAGGGCATTTATAGCTCAAAAAAAATGTGTTAGGGCAATATGTGGTATAGCACCGGACAATTCATGTAAGCCACTATTCAAGTATTTGAACATCCTACCATTACCCTGTCTATATGTTACGGCTAAAGATAGTTGTGAAAATAAACTTAAGTTTAGCCGGCTAAACTTAAGTTTATCTTCGAGAAGCAGCTAAAGTACGATAGCATGTTAGTTTGCGTCGTGATATTCCATCTTTAGCCGGCTAATGTGCACATTAGCCAAAACGAAACGGCTAAAAATGTATTCGATGGGCGCGCGCGCGCCAGGCCGGCGGAGGGCTTGAGGGGGCAGTGGGGAGACAATGCGCGCGCAGTTTTATTTTGTTTTATTTTGTAATTTTAAATACCTACAGAAGATTCAATTGTAATGACCAAATGGTTCCTTATTATTTTATTTTAATGATTAGGTAGTTATTGTTTTAAGTGATTAATATTTTGTAATTGTAATAATTGTAATTTTGAATACCTACATAGGTACATAAAAGTATGTGTAATGAAAGTGATTATTTTTTAACACGTTCCGCCGCGGTAACGGCACATACCTACAGTAAAGGTGGAATTCATTCATATTATGGCAGTACGGGTCTCGCCGTTTTCACGAAAATCAATCTAAAAAACACTACGGCAACAACCGTCGATTTTACATTAGAGTTTCATTGAGAGCAGACTTGTTGTTGCAAAATATTGTGAACAACAGTACGGGTATAGGTGTATGAAACATTTATGTGAAGATTGTTAGTGTCATATTGTACTGGAGTACAGCGTCGGAACGTGTTAATAAAGTTTTCGTGTCAAAATAGTAAACATTATTACATTGTTTCCTTTTCCATTTCCTTCTACATTTTTAGCCAAGGGCCTGCGGTCACACTTAAGTTTAGCCGGCTAAAGATAGAAGAAACTAACATTAACACCTCGTCGAAGATAAACTTAAGTTTAGCCGGCTAATCTTAAGTTTATGTTCACACCTATCTTTAGCCGTAACATATATATACTTGAAGCTGCAAAACTAGTTAAACAAAACCCCTATCTTTTCAAAAAAGCCAAAGACGTTTTCCCACGTAATACTAGGAATTGCAATAGACTAGTCCTTGAGTTCATCCCAAAAAGTACTCGTATTCAAAAAAACTGTTTCTGCATGTGTGTCCAAATCTATAATAAACTTCCTCAAGATATTAAAGAACTGTCCTTTAATCAGTTTAAGACCACATTGCAAAAGTGGCTTGTCGCGCGATTATTCTACTCTCTCCAAGAATTTTTAAGCTATAGGGAATAATCAGCAAAAAGTAATACCGTAATAATTATATGTAATATCAATATTTCTTCGATATATTTGCATGCTATTGTTGATGGCTGGATAGGTGATCATATTTTGTTATTTTCGACCTTCTGTACACCCTATTCAAAGACAAATAAATATTTCTATTTCTATTTCTATTTCATTTTATGCCTTCATAGGTCAGTGCCAGGCAATAGTTTCATTTAATTTTGAGATAATACAGAAGCACGATTTTATGTTTTCCATATCATTTTATACTAGCAAGCAAAGTCTGAGCCCGTCATATTAATTTCGGTCACCATTGTTATAGAGCAATACGGAAATATATCGTGCGTGATACACATATCGTTTTTGTAACTAGAACAACTTTAGTGACCTACAGTATACTACCTACTTATCCAGAGTTCAGTAGATATAAACGCTACTTATAAATATAGGTAGGTACTTACTGAAACTACTAAATTGAGAAATGAGATTTTTTAATTCAATTTTCATTCGATTTCATAATTTGTAAATTAAATAATTGTGAAACTCGTCATCTGAGTGATAGTCAGTGACGCATTGAAGACTACAATATCGTTAATCATTTTATTACAATAATATCATTAATTATTTTACGTGGAAAAAAATGAACCCATTTAATCATACCGTGTCTACGTCAGTTTTCCGGTCGGCTGGTTACGATAACCTTGCTGGATGCTTTGTTTTTTGTATTGGGATAGATAAAGCAACAAAAACAAAAGCCAATATTTTGCCCAATACCTACGATTACGTTTACTTACCTTCAATTTTTGTAATTGATGATGACTATTACACCAAGAAATCTGTATAAGAGTAAGATCTATACGATCGTAGACCCATGATCATCTGGAGAGAAGGAAAATTCTTATACTAATTCTTAATTTGCAATCAATATTGTTTAGGTAGGTAGGTCACATCTCCTAATGTGTGGATGTGGGTAGTAATCATTGAGGTCACTGCATTACGTAAGAACTTAGGTACATATTTGATATCTATCGATTGGTAGTTCAGCTTATGTACCTACTTACGTGCTATGTATATCCTTGCAGAGTACGCTGACCATAAACCTACCTGATATGGGTGGAATATTTTTGAATCCACAAAAAGCTCTTGGCTTGCATCTCAACTGATGGAAAGTAATGATCTTCACCCGGAATCCTCAACCACAGAAGAACTGGTTATCTTTAACTGTCGGAACACAACAATTGTGTTAACATTGAAGACAATATAACTAAGAGTGGTACCTTTTTTGGCTTTATCCGAATCCCCATGGTACATGTCAGGCGTAGCGGCGGCTGGTGCGGTCTCCCTGGCGTTGACGGTGTATGCCTTCTCCTCCTGCTTGATGTACACCGTCATGAAGAAGCCCCCGCCGATGCCCATGCTCTGCTGGTTGAGCAGGCTGTTGCAGAACATAGCAGCGATCGCCGCGTCCACTGCCGAACCATTTTTCGTGAGGATTTGTCTGGAATCACGAATTTCTTAGTGAGGATTTGTCTAAAATTACATAAATTAACAGATAAAACACTTTGCGGTATAGTAGATATAAATCGGCTTCTTATAAAACCTACAGGAATTTTTGTACTAATTTTGTACTCTGCTGATCTTTTAAGAAACCCTGACACATTTCTCTTATAACCAATGTCACACTTTCTAGAGTTTAATAGTCAAAATAGACTATAAGCTCATAAGTATCAGATCTTTAGCTAAATCACTGTTTTTTTTTTCTTCTAACCTTAGCTAAAACCATTGTCTAGTTTTAAAACTTTACGAGTGTTTTAATAATTTTCGAACAAAGTGTAAGATTAAGACGCAGTTTATTTACACGTGAGTAAAAACTTGTCTGTGTGACATTTTGATACTGGTTACGTAACTCAAGGCTAAGTAGATTGTTTAATAATAAACCCAAATAAACAAAGACGGATAAGTATAATCAGTTTGATAGCGGCTGATTACTGATATTTATAAACAAATCAACAAACAGGTTTATCTCTCCACACAAGGACAGTTGAAAACTTACATAACGTACAACCTACAGGCATTAGAACTATAAATTTGTAAGAAGTTAGGTACTAAGTACTTCATTTACCTACTTATTTAATGTCTATTTTCATTATATACTACTTACAATCTTTTATTCATTCATTGAATCACATGAGTATTACATCATGTTATTTTCTTTGCTGAAAATGTAATGAAAAACTTCCTATTTTTGCTGGCATTATTTTAGCTCTTGCCCTTGTCGTGACCCTGAAGGTGGTCAAGGGTATGTATGACATAGGACTTTTAGAGGTCTATTTTGGAATGCTCTACTATTAAAAAAGTCTAGTATGTATTTAAACATTAAATAAATAATAAATAAATGTCCTTGGACATTTTACACTGCTCTTCTAGTCCCAAACTAAGCAAAGCTTGTACTATGGCACTAGACAACGGATATAAACATACTTAAATACTTTTTTTTTTAAATACTTATTTTTACTATTTATTTCCTTTTAGCCATCATTTGCTCTTTCAGCTTTTGAGAAGTCTTTGAAAAGAGCACGTGCCCCTACGATGTAATTTCTGTTATTCTTAAATATGATCTACATGTGAGTTCACAAAAACTATTGAGTTCGTGCCCAAATTTTCATTTAGAAAAACTACAGAACACTTGGCAACAGTGTGAATTAATTGTTTGTTTCAGTCTGCCCCACATAATTCGGTTTTATTGTAGGTATAAATCTAAACTAATATTATAAAGCTGAAGAGTTGTTTGCTTGAATGCGCTAAATCACAGAAGCTACTGGTCCGATTTGAAAAAATATTTTTGTGATGGAGGATGAGGAAGGCTTGAAGCTATATTAAAACAAAGAAAAATGTTGCAAAAAGGGAAAATATCAAACTATTTTCATGCGTCGCGAAGTCGTGGTCACAGCTAGTAAACGATAACTTGGTTGTATTCTAGGTATAATTTGATTGTAAAGTGGATTAGTGGGTTCTCCTTCAGACGTTCCAATGACAAAGTGTGGTATTAATATTTATCGTTTGGTAATTAACTGCTATCACCTACAGACGTGCTTGCAATTAACTCGTATTTACTTAGGCTGGGTTGCACCATCTTACTTTGACTTTAACAAACGTCGGAAATCTGTCAAACTCCATACAAAACACACCGGTTATAGTTATAGTTACTGTTAAAGTTAGGTGGTGCAACTCAGGCTTAGATGCGCTATTATCGTTATATTAGAGGTAGAGGTGATGAAGATCTGTCTTATACAGGATGTAACGGTTAATGATGATATCAAGTCACTGTTCTGAATTTATTGTGATTAAGTTTTCCTGAAAAAATAAACTGCATTATTTATTTTTCATTTCTCCTTATGTTAAATGTTCATTTCTGGCATCTCTGACTATAAAAAGAGCTGTGAGAGAAAAGTTATAACATTTTTTTGGTTTTACTTTTTGCCAATCTTTCTTACATTTTAATTATACCTACCTATCTTATTTGATGTATCTGTAGATATTTTTAACGACCACACGCACCTCGTGCGTTGACCTGTATGTAGTTTATTAGCAAAAAAATTGTTAACAGTGAATGTAATGAAGGCCCATGAAAGAGTGTGTTCTATAGAGTTTAGAGGTAGGTAATTTTAAACTAAATGTACACACTTGTGTTAGAATTTTGACAGTCTTCTGTTTAGTTATTTATATCTTAGCATCTTGTTTGCGCTTCTAAACTATCAGTTGAGTGAACTGTAACTCCATAAACATTTCCCTTGCCGAGTAAATTCATGAAATTCGGCATGGATACTTTCTTTCATGAATTGTAGAGCCACTACTACAACCTATAGCAATTATAAATAGCCAGTTTCTTTTGAATAAAAAGTTACTATATTTTCTTCTTCTTCTTCTTTTGTCTTGTGGATTTCATGACTTTTAGGATGGATAGAGTTCCTTTCATGAATTGTAGGGCCACCACTATTACACATGTTATATATTATTTTTAAATAAAAGATACAATCTTTTCTTCTTCTTATCGTCCACAAGACTTCACATCCCTAGTGTCAGACATAAATGAACTTCCTCAGGCGTCTGACAGCAAGTCACGGTACCATACAAATCCCGTTACGTTACGTAAGAAGCTGATTAATAATTGCGATAAGTTTTACAGATTGAATCACCAGCACGAGATATAAACGCAGTGCGTAGTTTATAGTGATGCAATATTTTGCAAAATTTCAACTTTATTGTTTTATTTAAAGTAATTTTATGATTGACTCACATTTCAGAAATGAAATTTTTTTATTGGTGTATTATTAATTTGGTTTCTTTTTATTAAATCAAGTTATTAAGGATTGTATCGGCATACCGTGCGAGTACAGTCNCATGCCGCCGGACAGGCAGTTCAGTTGGAGCATTGAAAGCAAGAAGTAGTAACTTTAAGGTGTTATAATGTTGGAAATGTATAAATTAGTATCCTGAATAAATAAGTAATTGATCAACAAGCAACTTTTCTTTATAAATATCANAAGCAGGATAATTATAGTAAAGAATGACATTAACATAACCAGTAAGTAAAGTAATAGCAATAGCTACTTCAACGTATGTAGGTACCGAGATTTATTCAAATAAGTGAAGATGCCAGTACATTCAATGGGGCATCTTTTAATATAATAATTGTTTTAGGTGCTATTTTACCACACATAAATTTTAGTCATATGCTGGCGACTGTACCTTTGGCAGCTTTATTAAAGAACTGGCCATTGACCAAATAACTAAAAGGATTCCTAAAAGATGGCCACATGTTTTTTTAGTGTTCCTCGTATGCGCGATGAACAAACTTTAAATAGAGTAAGGCTGAGTTGCACCACCTAACTTTGACCGTAACAACGATAACCGGTGTATTTTGTATGGAGTTTGACAAATTTTTGACGTTTGTCAATGCTAAAGTCAGATGGTGCAACCCAGCCTAAGTACTATAGGTAGGTCATGACTAGGATACTGAAAAGAATAGGTCAGAAACAGTAAAACTTTTACTTAATCGTTAATAAGTTTACATACCTAATCGACACTCTAGTCTCTATGAATCATGATGCTGCCAATCTCCATTCGCTCTCCAGTAAGAGATTTTGTGTCTTGAATAGAGATTCATCTCCGAAGACGTCATGTGGTCGGCAGAAAAGCCTAAATCGAGCTCTGTGACGTGTATCCTTTTTCAGCAGAGAATGAAGCTATGATATGTAGGTATATTACTACGTTACAATATTATTGACTTGAATCTTGATCTATAATATTGCTGTCCTGAAAGGTCCTGAAAGCGAGTTATACTTATTAAAAACATACGAGTCGAATTGAGAACCTCCTCCTTTTTTTGAAGTCGGTTGAAAAAGCTCTGATGTTCACTCCATGGTTACTTTGTAACATCGAGCTTACCTCCCTTACATTAATTTCACAAAACGGACGACTCTACATGTTCCAAAACACACCACACATTGTCACCTTAAATAAGTTCGTAACATTTTAAACAGATGGCGCTAGTTGTCAACGTAAAATGTTGCGTATTGTCTTAACCGGCGACTTCATTAATGCAACCTCCATCATGCGCGCGCAGTGACGTTTTAAACTTGTTTCTCATATGCAACATTTCAAGATCAATGGTATCATTTGATAGAGTTTCATACATATTCATTGGTTTATCAAACAATAGCTATGAATGAAAAACGTCTTCTTTGTCATTTGATGTGTAGAGCCGGGCCGCGTAGTTGACAAAATGTACATAAGTAAGTACCTACTTATACATTATGTTTTCTAGTTATTTTATCAATTTCTATCAATTATCTGGCTCTAAAATGAGTAGGGCTTGTAATTAAGTAATATAATAGTGATTAGATGACGGATAAAAAACTTAAGAATATCCATCCATCTTTAATTATAATCGCACACAAAACGAATATAGACAATTCAATTAGTCATATCAAACCACTCCGGTAGTTTGCTATGTAGGTATGTATGTATATGTAAATACATAAGTAGTTGAAATTGTAAATCCGAGCTCGTAGCCATGACGCAATGGCCGACAAGAAACCGCGAACACCCAAAAAAAGAATCAAAAAGCGTGAAATCTGTACCGAATCGCATCGTTCAATTTGAATTCCGAACGCGAATCGACGTAAAATATGGCGGTTGCGCGCCCAGAAACAGGACACCGAACGGACTTAGCCGGGGACAATTTGTTACCTTTTTAACACGTCATCCGATTTGAAAAATCTGGAAAAAAACACGTGAGACATGTGGCCCCATTATAGCCTGTTTTGTTGCGAGTATAATCGAGCTTTATGTCATTTTGATACACTCCTAAGAGCTTTTGTGCCGGTCTGCTCTCACAAAGGATCATTTTATTCGTGTGAATAAGTCTGATCTTCTAACATCGATTCCTTGTTGAATTGAATCGATTTTTCAAGCTCGGTAGTCGTCCTTTGTTGCTAATAGCTCGACGTTTCGTCTTGCTTTTTAGTCGGAACTTTATATTTATCTCTTTTACGTCTATTATAGAACTGTATTGTATAGTAAAGTAATAAATGCTGGGGTTTTGTTGATTTCGTTGTTATTATTGTTAGAAAAGGAAAAATAAAGCCATTGTTGCTGGGAGTTAATGATTTAATCATTGGCTTGTAATAATATTACACGCTTTATTATTGATATCCGCCGCAAGACATCTGCAAACTAGTTTAATTAATTAATTAATTTGATGCTGTACAAGAACAAACTATGACCATAAAGTTTACAACAACGATGGATGAATTTTATTAATTTACACATTAATTTTATGAGTCTTCCAGTGACTTGGCCCATGGACCAAGCTAAAAATGGGCCAAGTCACTGGAAAATTCGCTTTAATCATAAAGCAGTTAGTAACTAAGTAATATTAATACTTAAGCTATCATTATACCTTTTCCATAACGCGTCTAACTCAACAGACTTTTATGATATCGTTTACATTATTACAAATTATGTAGAGTTAGATCTTTCCTGGAGCCATTTTATCTACAATTAATTAAAGTGATCTTCATTTGTCATAAAATTGGATACTGTTCAAAATTTTAAAATAAAAAAACAGAAGAGCATCGCGACTTTTGCTCTTAAATTGGAACAGACCGTGTTTTGTTTCAAACAAAAACAACAACCCCACATCTGAGTACAAATCAAAGCAAACTTTGTGACATCGGCTCTCGGGTCTCTATGACATATTAATGTAAGGACTTATAAAAAGTAAGTAGGTACAGTCCTCTCAACTTAAGCTGAGAATTGCATTTGTGTGAGTGCACACCGATAGTTTAGAGTGGCAATCGGCTTGAAGCGCGGCGCGTGCCGCGCATGGTTTATTATAGCAAGCGGCCTGAAGCGCGGCGCGTCCGCCACGCACCGCTTCCTTGTCGCTCACATACTTCACTTCACCCCCGGTACTGGTAGCAGATAGGTACGTGTAATTTTATGTAATTGTGTTCCAAATATTACTAATATTAGTGAAATGGCTCCTACTGTAAGTGAATTTCCTGTACGAAATCCATTAAGCAGCCAAGTGAAAGAAATTTTATGCAAATTGAATACGTATTTTAAAGGTGTGAACGAAAAGTTTTTAGTCTGTTTTTATTTTGTAATTTTATAAAGTTTGTCTTTTTGTTGTATTTTGTAAGGCTGAGCCCCGATTACGGTAACTTTTAACGTCTACAATCCAGACGCGTTTCTGATTCTGCAATACGATTGGTCAAAACAGCTGACGTACGCTGTTGAACGACCAATCGTATCGCAGAATCGAGAAGCGTACCTGGATTGTTGACGTTAAAAAATACCGTAATCGGGGCTCTGGCTGGACGCCCTCTCTATAAACGGTGCTCGCAGAATATCAGCGTCGAGGTACTTCGTGCCTTGGCATAAATGCTGAGCGAGGACCTGTTTTTATTTATTTATTTATTTAAAAGGATGTGTCAAGTGTCGTTACATCGGCCCAATTGGTAGCAAGTGTTTTATAGACTTCCTTTTAATAAAACATTAATTTTATTTGTATGTGTTTTACTAACGGTACTTTTGGCGATCACTCACACAAATGCAATTCTCAGCTTAAGTTGATAGGACTGTATGAAGTATGAAGAAACTGTAACACCTACAAACTTGGAATTCGGCAAATAGATTCTTTATTTATAGGGTGCAGGGCTGCAGGCGTCCGCTAACAATGGATTTTACGAAACTCCACCGGGGTAAAACGGGGTCCATGCGTACGAAGTCGCGGATGGCCGCTAGTAAGTATAGTTATATTTATCTATACTAATATTATAAAGAGGTAAAGTTTGTGTGTTTGTATAATTGTTAAATTGTAAGGGGTAATCTCGGGATCTACTAAACCGATTTTAAAAATTCTTTCAACAATAGAAAGCCACATTATTGCTGAGTGTCAAAGGTAATATAAAAAACCGAATAATTCCACGCGGGCGAAGCCGCGGGCGGAAAGCTAGTTACTAATAAAATAAATATAATACCAAAAACGTTAGGACTGACTGGAATGGGTAGATAAGCAAAAACTGTTCGCGATAATAGGTAGGCAGTTTATGAACGCACGATGCAAAAAACGTGTTCACACATACATACACAATAAGCCTAGGCAGGCAGGTAGGTAATGGAAACCGTACAGTTAAACTACTTACCGTTTACTTTGTACTTTGACTACACATCGTTTTACTTTAGGTAGGTATAACCATGTTAGAATGTAGAAAAATGTACCTACAATGTACTACATTTTGAGCCAGAGATAATAAGCCTTCATTATAAATTTTGTTAGAATTGATTTTAAGAGTACCTACTTAAGTATCAAGCAGGTAAAGTCAGGGCACGTAAACAAACACTGACATGTGGTGGAATAAACTCAGTCACCTTCAACTAGTACATATTATGGACATGGAAACCAAAGACTAGCTGTCTAGCTCGCACCAATACATAACATAGGTATCTTTATGTTGTAATGAAGTGGTAGAAAATGAGCTCTACATAAAAGGAATAGTTATCCATTTTAACAACTGCAATCCATGTGCCTGTGCTTCTTTAATAACTAAGAAAAATTATGAAATATTCAGTGATTTACAAAAAAACAGACAGCTCTTACTCGGAGATGCAAAAACTTCTAGGTAACCTCCTTCAAATTCCAATGGTTAACTGAAAATAATGCCCTTAGGCATTAAGTTCGTTATTTCTAACGTGCATACCTACTTGTATGTAAATTGTATTTCAATACCGGTCAAAGTAATAAAGTAGATGTATTTTATTATAAGGAAATAGGAAGTTTTAGTTTATTGAAGAATATGCCGGTTACTAATTTTATTAGGTTAGTTTGTGTGTGTTATCATCACCTGTCTATTAAAATGTGTTTTTGTATATTTCGATCATTATGTGGTCGTTACGAGTATCTAACTGTGTGTTCCTAAAATGAATTCAGTGCATGAATGATTCATCTGTGTTTGTTTGTAAACATTTTCAATAAACATAAGGTAAGAGAGATAACCTGAACTTCAGCCAAGTTACGTAATTGCCGGGTCTGTGATCAATACGAAATGTCACAACCTTTAACAATCCTACCGTGTTGTGTTTTGTTTTGCTACGACGCAAAAAGCAGCTGTCTACGTGGGTAGAATCGCTTCGACCGATAAATAGCCGGCAAGGCCAGCCACCTCGGCTTGCTTCAAGGTTATTTTTGTGTATAAACACATTGTTAGCACACAACACAATAAGATGGCCACTAGTGCAACACAAATGAAACAAAGGAATAAAGTTAAATCATACTATAATTTTTATTACCTTAAATTAATTATTACAGTCGTCTAGTACCTCAGGAAAGATACAAAATAAACTCATAATAATCTAATTAGGAATTAGTAACACAGCAATTATGAGCTCTACAACAAGCTCAGATGAGATGAGATCAGTTCACGGAACGGTGTTAGGTCCAAAATAGATTCACTGGCCTTTCACAGTGAGAGAGAAACTTCAACGCGGCCGGGGCCTCGCTCTGCTCCTTGTCTTGTAGATGTGGTGGGCCTGGTAGAAGCTCTGCGTCAACAGAAACCGCCTCGGGTGTTCCAATGATCTCTGAGATGATTCGCGTCCCGAGCTCTCCTCAGGGATGCGCCATAACAACCTCCTTTCGTTAGGCATATCAACGGTCCTTTTGCTCGCCATGTCGCAGTATTCTATCCGCTCATTTAATGCTTATTCCCTTTCTTGTTGTTCTCTGTGTTGACTAGCTTTGTAACGATCTTTCTGGAATGGCCGGACGGGTCGAAGTGATTGGTGTGCTCGCTCACCTCCTTCTTCGTGCGCTGCTTGCCGCTGTGTCCCGAGAAGATGTGCTTGTCGTAGTCAAAGTTGTAGTAGTCGTACTCGTCGAAGAAAGCCTCGGACATATTTACTTTTGCTTGTGAAATTGTGAGACACGAGAAATTTGCGGTGACAACGTCACTTGGTGGATGCTTTTAACTGAATGTTGGGTGTGTTAGTTGCGCGGCGTTTATATAGCGTTGTGGGGCACGTCAGTGACCGCATGCGCGTCGATAAGGTTCTCGAAACGCGATTGGTCGAGAGCTCTCAGCCGCGACCCGGTTATGAAGGATGTTTGTTTATTTATACAGTGCGCTAGTGTGAGTGTGCCGGCTGGGGCTGCCATTGTTATAATTTAAAATACCACAATTTTGAACGGGCACGCTAGAATTCGGCGTGAAATCAAAGGAAATTGCATTTTCATGCATGGGCGTTTTAATAGCATTAACAGACTAGAAAACATGGTTTCAGATCGATGCTTGCGTTCACGATGCGCAGTAAAAACTAGTCGGTGAATGCGCAAAGATGTCTGCAGGTTATGAACGTGCCCAGACTAAATATAGACGAACTAGTAGTTTTCTTGCTTAATAAACACGAGAAAAATCTTTAATATTAGTACACACGTATTTTATAACGTAGCGAAATCGTAGCATTCGTAGTCAAATGCTCGTAGCAAGGTAATTTTTCCTGTAACCCTACGTTTTACTGAAATAAGAAGTATAATAAAGAATAGATCGCAATATTTTTTGTTGATAACTTATGTGTTGTGTTTCTTTAAGATAGAGATCAAACCACGTGACTGTGTAAGTGTAAGACTGTAGATTCTCCCAAATGGAGCGCAACTTTAATTCGCCTTGTAACATTGTATCGATGATTGTGTGACTTGAAAACAATTATGTTCTTTGTGTAATAAGTAGGCACTTCATTGTTTCCATAATCGGTGAATTATCACGTGCGATTCACGTAAAGTTCCTCGATAAAATGCAGAATTATAAAAATATGTTTGCGTGCTATTGTTTTTGTTACTAGTGCCGCCATCTGTCGAAATTTCATGTAACTAAAAACTGCTGAAGTTCTTGTGCTCATGAAACAACTGAATAAACTACTATTTTGTTTCTATAATTTACTGTATTAACTTTTAGAATTTCAGCTAAGATTCGACCAAATAAAATTAAAAAACGAAAACTAATATTGTTCCTGAGTGTTGTAGGTTTCTTCTAAGCTTAATTTAGAATATGCTTAAAACAATAAAAATAAAATCAATCTTTATCACGATAAAAATGAAAATCATATAGATATCCTCTATTTCACAATACTGTGAGTCACGTACAATAATTTCGATTAATCTAGCTAGATAAGCCAAAGTATTATAGGTATTTCCAATGATTCTAAATTAGGCGGAAAAACAATGACGAATCTTATTGTAAAGAGAAAAAGTTGAGAAATATGTAGGTACCACGGTAATTTTTGCACGTATTGATTTTAAATGATGCAATCTTATACTAATATTATGATGTAATTTCATGAGAACTCTAGAAATCTCTAGCATTATAACTATTATATTTGATAATAATTTAAAAATTAAACCATCAACTGCGTTAAAAGGATGTGGTTACTCAACGATAATGATAAGTAATTAATTCCAACGAGCACGCACTGACAAAATAATATATTACACAATAATAATTACAAATATTAAAAAAAACTAGATGCAAGTGGCCGGGGATAGAAGTCGGTGGAAGGTTGAAGAGGAGGCCTAGGTTTAAAGACAAACCAACAACAACCTGACCTATATTGTCTTGAATCCTTACTATGGGACATAGACAGGGTTTAGTTATATTTTATTAATTAATTATGGGCAATGAAATTACGGTAAAAAGTTACTTAATATATGGTGAACGTCTTGTAAATCATCAGCGCAAGGCTATGATTTGGTCTGTATTTCGGAACTTTTTAAACTGAACGAGAATCTATACAATTTTAAAACATCTTTCAATGAGGGTTTTCGCGTATGAAAAATCCGCCAGATGGCAATACGTAGACGCGAGGTCCAAATGCTGCATGATTGGATATTTTTGACATGACATTGACAGATATATCAAAATCCACCAATCACGCAGCAGTCAGACCCCACATCCACGTCCCGCCATCTAGCGGATCTTTCATACGCGAAAACCCTCATTTGTAAACGAGATGCATAACAACGTCATCCAATTGGTGCACACAGCTGCAGCAGCTGCTTTGTACATGCATCATCATCATCATTTCAGCCACAGGACGTCGACTGCTGAACATAGCCCCCCCCCCCTATGATTTGTACATCCCCCGGGCCCGGTGCTTGAATAGAACCTAGAAGTTTTCCATTTAATTTTATGGACTATACCTATACCCCTTTTATAAAAGTCTTCTCTTATAACTACATAAAGATTACCTCTAACTTACTGCTAGGCAGGAAGAAATCGCATTTGTGACAAAAAATTCCTTTCTACGTGCATTTTTATCATCATCAGTGTTTCCTAAGAATGCAACATATAGGAGATTTTTTAAAAGAAAGATCGTACAATTTACTTTATAACCAGCAGCATCATCTAATTTTCAGTCTTATTTCTAGCGTTTACAAAACAGATTAGAACCAAACTCTATAGCTACTGACCTGCCAATCTGGGAGCAGTGCGGTGCGTCAGTGCAGACAGCTGCCTTCTGGAAGGTGTGCAGCCAGGAAGCCGAAGGTAGAAGAGGCTCCACTGGGTCTGGTGGCTCAGAGTTCTTCCAGTTGTGGTAGTCGTTGCTGCCGATGAGGTATCCACTCAAGGCTGACAGCAAGACCAGGACAGTCAGCCCCGTGATGACCAGCTTCGTGCGAAGCTTGTAGGGTCTGGAAGATAAATTTCAATTTAGTACAAAATTACCTAACAGAATAAACGCTTTATAATGTGGACTTTTCGTTAAGTTAACTCCTTAGAGTTCCTATGGCCAACTTCCAGTCCCATCATCAAATTAGCTCGATGGTACCATAATATTGTATTGTCATCCAATCTACATATAATTGGCAAGATACAAGAATTAGAAGTAGGTAACTACGTGTAATTTAGATTCTTAGTTACATACACGACGACCATTAGGTTGCGCTTTTATTAAAAAGCGTGTTAATAAAGACAACTTGGTGTCCACAAATGCAGTCGGAAGCATCAATGCCTAAGATTTACTGATAAACCTATTAGATGTACTCGTATCTAGAACAAAATGCGCCTGTGTAGACGATATAGCAATTTACACTATTATGATAAAGAGATGAATGAAGTTTTGTGAGTTAGTTGGTAGGAAATAATCTTTGGAGCGACTGAAGTATTCGGAAAATTCTTTCACCAGTAGATAGCTAATTTGATATTTAATAGTAAAAAATAATTTTATAATAATACATTAATTAATAATAATAATAAATAATAATAGTAGCTATTATTCCAAGTAACGTAAAGCTTATCTTTATGAGACAGCGATTCCGCGGGCAAGAGCTAGTTAGTATGTATAATATTGTATGCGATAGTTATATGTTTTTGCAAAGTCGTATATCAGCTGCATAGTTGACTCGTTGACTGGCAGGCTTTTGCTAGTAGATGAAATGTCTTGAATACAGTGTAGAGTCTCAAAATTCGTTAAGAAATAAGATCTAAAAAGTGGATGTGTCTGGTGTAGATGTAGTGGTAGGTGTTCTAGTGTTTTAGAATAAGGAAATTTTAACTGATTTATTTGGTAATCATCGTGTATGCGCTGGTCTCTAGGATGCCGGTATCCTAGCTACAGCCACTATCATCTCTACATGCTAAAATTAACATGGCTAAAATTTAAAAACACTTTCGCATCAGCATACATAAGTACTTTATCATAGAGTTAAGGGAAAAACTTAAATAAAATGCCTTGGTCCTTAAGATAAGCTACGGTTTGTGTGTATTTATCATCATGGATATGCATAAAGTCTAAAGTTATAGCCAAAATAATTTTATCTTCGTGACCTAGATTCTAGTGCATAGGCGGACATTTTGTGCGTTATCGCTACAATCAATTACTTACTTTGACGGATAGTAATCATCGTTACTGAAATTCCCTTGAAATATGGCGAACCTATTTATCGGCGACACAAGACGAATCGTGTCCATAGGAATATCATCCATACGGGTGCTGATGAAGTTCCTCCGATGCAGACCACCGTGTTGCTCCATAATTAGATTTCAGTACATTAATTCACTATGACACTGCACTTGTGCGTTACAACAATATAACCTTACGGGATTCTCGCAGTTAATTCTTTTGCGCGCGCCGCATTTTAGTTCTAGATTCGCTAGCACTTTTCTTTTATGTGTCAATACGTTTTCTCCTGCATGGTGACACAGACACTATTGCACTTTTGATTTAGTGTGTCAATGACGTTTTAGGGATGCGATAGCAGTGAACTTGTTTGCGGGTAGGTGCCGGGAAAATCGATACAGGGAACAGCTGTCCACGCCTCCCAGGGTTTACAAGGGCAAAGTATAGATGGCGCGATGGGATTTAATGCTACTCGTAGATGAGGGTTGGTATTGTGTATTGTTGTTTTGTTAGTTTTTCCCGCCTTTTCAATGGAAGAAAATTTCAATGTTAGATTGTAACGCCTACAAAAGTGTATCAGCAATGTTTCGCAAGTACGGTGCAATACTGTTGCCGTGATAAATATAGTAGGATTTTAGCTAATATCTTGCAAGAGGCTTTAGACTTTAGATAAGAATAACTGTAAATAGTACTTAGTTATAATTTAGTAATTAACACGACTATCACTTCAAATAAGCAAACATTTCTAGTGTAATAATATTTGACATGATAAACCTAGCTATTTCATGATTGCAACTTGCAATTGTTTTGTGCAGGTGAATTATGTGAAAAATAAGCATAAGTTATAATAACTTTTTCATGATAGTTTTAAGAATTATTTTTATGGGGTTGAATAAAAATGAATTAGGATTGTGGTTCCTTATAAATTCTATCATGAAAAATTACTCAAGTAAGACTAAAATTACAAATTGTTAGAAGAACTATACAAATAAGTCTGACTTTTCCATGCAACGAAATTACTTAATAAACCTGGTCTTTACGAATCTATAATATAAAAATGAATCGCAAAATGTGTTGGTAAGCGCATAACTCAACAACGCCTGGACCAATTTTACCAATTCTTTTTTTAAAATGTTTGTTGAAGTCCAAGGATGGTTTTTACAGCGAGAAAAGTTTGAATAATTTCCGGGTAAACCCTAAAAAACTCGAAACTTCACCCCTAAGGGTAAAACGGGGTCCACGCGTACGAAGTCGCGGGCGGCCGCTAGTACTATTATATTTTTCCTTAACAAAAAGGATTACGACACCAAATTAATTCCTTGTTGGCAAACATCCTGATGATTACGTAGTCTATGATCACACCTTAGACTAGTTCTTAATATTAAGATCAATATAATAGCACCTACTGATAAACAGCGAAACAAAAAATATTCATTCATAACAAGTACTTTAAGCCGGTAGCAGTCTCGTAGTACCAAGTTCCTGAAGAACAACAGTATGTAAGGTTATTCTCCAACTAGCTCTCTTTTAATATGTTTATGAGTTTATGAGGAGTCCATTCAAAATCTTAAGCTTGTCAAAACAACTTTGTTACAAGCATGTGAGGTTTAAAAGCCGAAGTATATTTTATTCATTGAGAGCCTGACAACCGGTAAAACCGACGAATGTTTGTTTTCAAACAATTTGCAAAAACTAAACTGGTTCTGTTACTACACATTCTAATCGGTCGAGGCCGTGTATGTGTTATTAAAATCTCATAGTTAAAGTACATGTTTTTCTATTCCGAACTCAAGTGCCGTCAGAGCCCCCGAACAATAAATTTTATTTTAGGTATAACGATTTTCTGCTACAGGCTTTTCAGTTATCTATTAGCCGCTGAAATTATTCAACGAATTAGTTGAAAGAATTTAAATAATTTATAATGATTTAAAATCATTTCATCAAACAGGATTTTCGATGCCATAGATTGTCTATGGTCTATTTATACCCCTTTTTTATCGGGGGTCGAGTACCAAAGATATGTTTGATACGGTAGATCATCAAAAATTATGTGTATAATACTTATTTCTCTTCTTCATCATCATCATCATCATTTTCAGCCATAGGACGTCCACTGCTGAATATAATCCTCCCAATGATTTATTTCCACAATGACCGGTTGGTGGCGGCCAGCATCCAGCGCCTTCTCGCTATCTTTATGAGGTCATCGATCCACCTTGTAGGTGGATTTCTTTTCTTATTGATCATAATTAAGTAAAATGTTAACTTACCTATCCCTGTCTGCATCAGGCACCCTAATGAATACATGTCGGTTTCTCTTTCTCACACTTCCAGGTTGTTTTAAAGAGCTAGTCCTAATCAGCTTCTTGTCACTCATGTCTATTCACTGTTGTTTATGCTTTGGTATTTACAAAACAATGTAGCTGTGTTTTGTTCCTATAATTGTGGTGAAAATACTAATTTTCATAAACTTTCGTCTGTAGCATTATCTTCATGAATTGCCTTTACGCTCACTCACTATAATGTCTATAATCATAGATTAACGAAATCTAAATATAACTCAAAGGTGACTGACTGACATAGTGATCTATCAACGCACAGCCCAAACCACTGGATGGATCGGGCTGAAATTTGGCATGCAAGTAGATGTTATGACGTAAGCTAGGCATCCGCTAAGAAAGGATTTTATGAAACTCCACTCCTAAGGGGGTTAAACGGGATACACGCGTACGAAGTCGCGGGCGGCCGCTAGTACACTATAAAAGTAAGTCCTGATGTGATTTATGAAACAAACCTTATTTCATACAAAAAATCAATTAAAAGTTACATAATATTACGAGTATTTTCGTACGACAAACTCCGGTCCTACCATAACAAGCACTCTACATAATATCCGCAATTACGACAACAAGAGGCACAATTTACTTAGAATAAGTAGGTAAAATAATCAAGGCTCTTCAAATAAATCAACTGTTTTACAAAACGTCAATAAACAATAAATGTAGAGCAGGGGTGGCGAACCTTTATGTATTAACGTGCCACTTTTCTAAAAAAGATGTTTGATATAGTCATAGACGTTGAGACTCCTGTTCTCTATTTTAGTTGAAATGGAACGTGAAAGTTTTTTTTTTTTTTTTTTTTTATCCACAACGAGGAAGCTCTTGGCCTGTATCTCACCTGATGGTAAGTGACGATCAGGCCGAAGGTGGAAGCGAGCTTCACCCGGAATCCTCAACCACGGAGGAACTGGCTATCTTACCTCTAACTGCCGGAACACAACAATGCTGTTAACATTGTTGTTATGGCGACAGACTTAGGTAAGATGGTGGTTTAAAATCTTTTAGTTTTAGATTTGCCATCTATCAATGAGGGTATCGTATAAGTGACGGACCTTACTCTACAGTGGCTGATGAGGGTAAATACAATGGCCCTAATTCAACAAAGCACATTATTTACCATTTAATTTCATAGTGAATTTTGGCACGCCTGCCATTGGTTAGCCATCCCTGATGTAGAGTATGGAGAGGATAGTAGTTATAATATAGAGCTCTTCACAAAATGTAACTATGTACATGTAGATATTGTTAATAGTATGTTTTTGAAAATTGACAATTGTCATTGAAAATTACATTTTACCGCAAAACAATGTACCTACGGTAAATTAAAGTTGATACACAATAACCAATAAAGTCAGATTTTATTTAAGTTATCTTACATAATGTACTCATGTATTTTATACATTATATTCAGTTACATAAAACAAATACATAATACTACATAATGATACTATTGATGTCATAATGATTTATTTATTGATTATATAGGTTTGGCGTAGATTTTGGTAGATTATTATGTTCAAGTGAGTAGGTACTTACTTAAGTTGAACAACATAAAGTTGCAAATTTTTAGTGACTTGTTATTTATTTATTTATTTTTATAGAAACCAACAGCGATACATTGAAAATGTTAGTTATAAGATTTAGACTAATAGTATAGCCAATGAAAGGTGTCCCTTTTTATAAAAGTACATTGTTGTTGGGTAAAAATATGAATTAAGGATGTTAAAAAAAATAATTCAAAATCAGGGCCGGATTAACCATCTCGGGGCCCCTAGGCACAGCTCGTTTGGGGCCCCCCCTTTTTTGTCGCGGAGGAAATGCTTTGCGCACTTTCACCACTGCCGGGGGACAGGGTGGTATGTGGGACTCCCGGCGCCCTAAAAAGGGAAAAGGACGGGGTATACCTACCCACTAAAACCTCCGCGGCGTTCCGTCGTAGCCCGAGTGGGGGTATCGCGAGTATCCGGCCGTAGCCTTAGACTTCCGCGACACCACGCTACAGCGACAGCTCGCCTACACGGCGGACCCTCCCCTCGTAAGACCGTCGGTCCCTTTAAAAGAACAAAATTCTCAAAGTAGTTCCGTCCTGAACATTTGAAAATCAATCTAGTAGGTATGACAGAAAGTCCTTTCTAGTGACCCAAAACTTCATCATCAATTTTTGTTCAAATTTTCGCCAAATCTCTGTATATGTGAAAATTTAAATTTTAACTTTTTAGTTAGTAAAACCGTAAGTTCCTTAGGAAGGACCAAAAACAAGGCGTTTTTTTTTTCGGTAGATCATCTCTATACATCGTAACATAAAGCCCCAGTAACTATGACATCATCAGTGGGATAACTTTATGAAGGGCTGGGACTGACAGGGTATAAAATGTTAGTACTTTTTGAAGGAACTTCGGTCTTACCTCCTTCTTATAAAATTTAACCTCTCGGTCTTACGAGGCTACACGCCCTCCTTGTGGGGGTCCGCGGGAATGCCCGAAACGCCAAGCCGTTCCCGTCAGACGAAGGTGACAAGGGTACCCCCGCAACCCCAGCCTGCTGGCCGCCACCTGGGGGGAGAGTAGAACGGTCGTACTTCTCCGCCCCCTTCTCCGCCTGCGGAGGGATGAGGCGAGAGGATCCTTCTGAAGGATGACCTCTTCGCAAAAGGAGGCGACCGCCTTCCAGCATCCTTCGTTTCCCAGCATGGCGTTGACCAGGCTCGGATGCGAAAGATCCCAGCCCACGACCGCAGTGAGGACACGGCGCTGCTCCTCCCAGCCGGGCAGCCTGTGCAGTCCGCGAGGGTGTGCTGCACCGTGTCATCCGCCGCGCCGCGCATTTGTGGCACACGGGGATTCCTCTCGCCCGGTTCTATGCGCGCGAGTCATGTCTTCATAACGGCGCCGCACCGCTCCGGGGCCGGGCGCCTTCCACGCGCCTTCTGGTCTGCCATCCAGTGATAGATGACAGACAAGACTCCAGTTTCTAGCTCCCAAGGAAGAGTACCAGCGAGAACGCACGCCGCAGCGTGCCCTACCGTGCGGTAGGTCCTTGCGACCCTCTGCGCTATGGCCCGCTGGGGTCTGCCCAGAAGGGCAGCATTCTCTCTCTTGTTGAGTGCTCTCTCGCAGATTGGAGCGCCATACAGCGCCATGCTCTTCAGAACGCCGGCATAAAGTCGACGACACCTCGTTTGTGGCCCTCCCAAATTCGGGAGAAGCCAACTCAGTGCGCCGGCTGCCTTGAGCTAGCGTGGCGCTAGCCCGTTGAAGTGCGGGCTAAAATGCCTCCTCCCGTCAAGCGTGAGGCCCAGATATTTCATATGGCCTTTGACGTCAATCCTAACGTCCTCAACGCGTCGGGAGGGGCGCGCTGGCGAGGCCCCAGAAAAAGGCCCAATCTTCTCCAGCGCGACACTCAGGCCGAGGCATCGTATTCTGCGAGCGACTAATGTGCCGCCCGCCGACGCCAGCCGTGCCGCGGCCCCAAATGTCTTCCCCGGGCAGTGACCAGAGTGTCATCCGCATAGCATATGACACTCATCTGGCCCCAGAGGGGCCAGTTGAAGCCTAGGTTCCACAAGAGTGGACCGAGCACCGAACCCACCGGAACCCCGCGGGCTACGCCGCGCCGTTTGAGCTGGCCGTCTCTGTTAACATACAGGACTTCGCGGTCCCGTAAGTAATCGGCCAGCAGCGCTCGAAGGCACTGAGGCAGTCTGTGATGTTGAAGTGCCTAGAGTATGATGGAATGAGGGATGGTATTGAAAGCGTTGGCTATATCGAATGATACAGCCAACACACCCTCAGCCCTCTCCCTAGCCTCCGCAGTGAGGCTTTTTAGCCTCTGAAGGGCGTCGCTTTGAAGCAGTAATGCCAAACGTCACGAAAATGAATTAGGTTCCACAATATCGAAATAATAATATGACGATTGAATGTGTAAACCAAAATAAGGCGAAGTTTTGAGGTGGTTTGAGTTTTGTTGCATAAAAATAATCCTTAACATTTTTTTTTTCATTTTTTTTCGGGAGTGCTGGGCCCCTGGTCATAGTGGGCCCCTGGCCATAGTGGGCCCCTAGGCACTGGCCTAAAGTGCCTTATGGATAATACGGCACTGTTCAAAATAACAAAAACTCACAAAGAAGCAATTCATTGCGTTATGGAACTAAACATTCATATTTGTGTCTATTATAAATTGTCCGAACAAGAAGTATCAACCCTTAGATTGAAAATCCTTAGAGGTGGTATTCGCTTAAATTAGTAAAGAAAATTATTGAATTCGTGGGATTTTCAGCAAAAAAAATGTTTCATGACTTAAATGGAAAATTAGTATCTAACCAACTTCGGAAACAATTTCACAAAAACATTGAGTGGGATTTCAGCAAAAAGTAGGTATTTTCTACGACTTAAATGGAAAATTTTCATTTTCATTAGACAATTAATTTCGACAACTTTCATATCCTTGTTAAGTATAATGATAGGTTTTGGATTTACGGTATAAAAACTGAAGTTTCCATTCGCTGCTAATAACAGGGGTTGAAATCTACAGCCAAAGCAAATAAATCCTCTACTTTCTGAATGAAAATCTTCAAAATAAAAGCTTTTTCAGAGTTGAAAAATGGTGTTGATTAAGAACGAAAAGGTTTCATTCATTTCATCTTACAACAAAAGCGGTTCTGATTGTTTCAGTGCGCCTCGGGATACACACTTTATGTAAAAGTTCTTTGCAGTAATTGAGGAGGGTTGAGAATACAATGGAATATCTTGAAGCTTTTAAGTAGGACATGCTTTCAACTAAATATAAACTATATAAACATTTCTGCTACAGAACTGAGCATAAGTATTAAACACGGAGTCTGTATAATTTGTAGGGAACCGAGCTGTCAAACTTTAAGAACGTTTTCTAGATGTAATTTGAGTTAATAACTTTCATTCGTGCAATGGCTTCGCCCGAAACCAGTCAAATTTTGAAAGTGTTCTGTGAGAAAAAAGTTTAAGAATTATTATCAGGGAGTCCCCAAATAAAACTGTTACAACCCAATACAGTTGCATTTATGCGCAACGAATTTCCTCCCCCAAAAAAGGATAGGTATTTTATGGTAATTTCATATTCGAGCAGCAGATTAGGTATGTACATTCAATGTTTGTTTCCATAAGTAAACAGTGGAAAGACTTTGTAGGACGTACTTGTAAGGGTGAGGTACAAGTATATTGAAGTTACGAAGGATTTTACTTTTTGAACGAGCGATCTTCACATATTATTGTGGAAAGGGTGAAAACTTTACTTTAGAAGATTTTGTTCCACAATGTCAGATGATTTACCATTTAAAATGAGAAAAGAAGCTTTTTCATCCATAAAATAAGTATACAGGTGGATTGATTTCTAATATTATCCTATAACTTAATTAATGTATTATTTTCTATTCTGAATAAGGATTGTTTCATAAAATTACGATCACTTTGATAAGTAAATATATTAATCTAATGTTATGTAACTTGTTTTGCTTTCTCAGTCCATTTCATACACGTTTTGAATTAGCCACACTATTCGATTCGCCACTGTTTAACTTAGCACTTTTTTCACAGCACACGTCAAAATAGGTTGGATATAGTCTGTGGTTGGCGAGTTGGCGCCAGAATAGTCAGTTTGATACTGACTCTGTGGTGATGCCGGAGTGACGTATATTTCGAATGACCACGGTGTCACGAGGTACGCAAAAAAGGTAGCACACAATAAGAAATCGATGCGGTGGTTCCGTATTTTTTTTAAATAGGTATAATATTGTACAGGATTTGCACGTGAATTTTAAGTATTTTTTTTTACAATCATATGATAATTTTTTTAGGGCAGCGACTTTGAAATTGTTGTAAAAGTAGTTGTAGAATATTATATTGAATTTTTCAGGACTGTTTGTTTATGTAGAGTCGACGTCATCACTTTTTAAATTCTAAACTAGCAACTAATAAAACTGAAAGATGACACATTGACACAGTAGGTATTTAAAAAAAAGTTATTTAGAGTTTGTACTAAGTAGGACTTATCGCATAATACTTTTGCTCTTCAGATTATTTCAGAACCTAGTCGAAACCGATTGGTTTCAGTTACGGGTAATTCGCTGAATAGAAAGCGGTAGGTAAAAATATTTTAACAAAATTCCTATTTGTCTGTGTTACGTTAAAAAGTAGGAACTGTAGGTATGCATTAAATAGTATTTCAATCTTATTAGATTACGTTAATATTTGCTGAACCCATAACCTTTAGCATACAAAATTAAAGTTATATTGATATACTTTCTAATAACGCAGATTTTTCGTAGACAGTGAATCGAAACATGATGTTCCGATCTATAACATAAGTATACCTTAAGAGTATTAATGAGAGACATTATGCCCAATTTTTGGTCTAGTAAGTGTCTTTTAACTAGTCTTGAACAAATTTCACACGTAGGTACCTGCCTACCTATTGTTTACATTGATTTTGGCGAAAAGGTGTTTTTGGAATCACACGTTCTTATTAGGAAAGATTAATAGTCATAATAATGTTTCTAATATGATGAAATATCATAGTATTACCACCACATAGTCACTCGGTTGTGTTTTTCCACAACTTTATGGTGTTGATCCTAGGTGCGAATTATTTTTCATTGCCACGATGACTCTACAATTTTATCGATGTTTCTGTTCAGTAAGGAAATGGAGTATTTAATTAGTTTTAATATCTAGGAAACTCGAGTTAAAGTACATTAATGGCTTATTCATAAAATTGACGCGATGCTTGTTTTTGAATTAAATATTGAAATGAAAAGATCGATTACTCAGGTGTATTATTTAAAGTTTTATTTTTACCTAAAATAGTAGGTAACTACATAAACTAATTTGATACCATGCAGAGTCTAATAATATCAATGCAACTTGTAATATAATGCTGAAAAGTGCACTTTAGTTGACAAAATGAATTCGCAGAAGAGTCTCAAATCTATAGATTCATATTTTGTTATCTCTGTGCTACTTAATAAAAAGAACTACATATAATAATTTTATGTAGCGTCTCTTTGTGGCCAGTACCAATTACAAGAACTAGTATTAAATAACCCGTTTAATTAACGAACCGGCAGATCTCTAAATATTATCCATAAAACAAGGCATTACAACAATTTTGCATGTGTGACGTGCCAGATATGTGGTTGAACCACCGCGTCACGGAAGGCTGAGGAAATGTGTTCACACGGTCACATGCTCTTCCGCAAATGGGAACAAGGTCTATTTTTGAGGCTGCATGTTCTGGTAGTCACGTGACATTGTAAAGAAATTGGAGTGTTTACTCATATTTAATTAACTTCAATAAATGTTTGACTAGGTGCGTGTGGAATCGTTTTTGACCAAGTCAAACTCTAGGTGCCAGGTGCACGGTTTGGGTACAGTCAGCGTTAAGTTCGTGACATCCAAATCAGCCAAAAAGTTGACAACACAACTTTATTCCCATTGTAATGTAACAAAGACGTGTTGCGAACTTTCTGGCTACTTTGGGTTTCTCGAAACACTTGTTAGTTTAATTTAATTAAATACGTATGGACCGGTAAGGATCTTTAAATTATATTTCAGACTTTCTTAAATCTCTTTTAAAATTTGCAACTGAGTTAACACTGAGGACATACGGAATGATCTTCCGGAAATAGAAACAAGGCTGTATTTTTGAGGTCCGGTATTTTTGGTAATACCGGTATTCATACCGGATGGCATTGAAAAGAAATTCATGTGTCAAATTGTTTTTATTATAATAATATGTAAGTAGTAAATATTTATTTTATCATTGCTGGCACTAAACTATTAAAATACCTATGCTAGGTATTATTATAACCCAACAATTATTTACTCATTTTTATCTATTCATTAGAAGTTAATACATTGCTTAGATTTTTTGTTAATTTAATGAAGATTACCATCATCATCATTATGAATGTGTTAATCCAAGTAGGTACAACCACAACATATCAGTTTGTAGGTATGTATCTACGTACATTACAATCGAAATGCCTAAGGTGGGAATCGAACCCACGACCTTAAGCTTGCCGGGCGACTGCTCTTCCCTTTCTTCGATTCCCACTTTAAAACTAATTAATTTAGTTTAAAACTAGCTTCGCTCGCGACATTCAGTTTGTCATAGATCATTATAAATTATAGCCTCCTATATGTTATTCTGGTGTTTTAACAATAGGCACTGTAAAGTTTCACCACAGTGTGAAAATTATAAATAACTTGAAAAATCGAACTGCCTAAGGCGGGAATTGAACCCACGACCTTCCGCTTGCCGGGCACACAGTGTTTTTTGGGTGAAAGTACGAGCAGGCCTGTTCATCTCCGCGAGTTTACATCGAAAACAAAACACGCACGATGGCCCACCTACAGGATACTATTCGACAAGGCCTCACATACGAGCGAACATTGACTCACGCACGCGTATTCTTGTGTATGATGGAAGAAAATAAAGAAAATGGTGTACTAAATACTGTGCAGTATTTAACTGCCTGAATAATAATAAAAACACAGAATGTACTTTTTTAAGTTGCCTCAAGACACTGAGAGGTAAATAAGTAGTTAATATTATTCATGATAATTCATGCTAAATCATGTATTTCCTCCGCCATTTTCCGCAGTTTGGCACCTCACGTCACATCATTTTACAGAAGCCAGCCCTATAGCTTCGGCGCAGTGCCGATCACTGACGTTTGTCAACAAAATGGTGCTTGACTCTTGAGATAGGCTAAATTACACCATATGTTAATGACATTGAGCATACATTTTTTTAAATACCTTCGCGAAGTAAAACTTCTGTACGTAGTACTTATTATTATTCTGTGGTACGAGTAACAATCCATCCCCTACACACTTTCATATTTATACCTACCTATACCTATTTATACCTATACCTAGACAGGTAGGTTCTGCACCTTATTCAGGTGTAATAGATGCTGTCCTATCCCATCTTATTAATAAATATGAAAGTGTGTNAAATCTAACACCAGGAAGTGTTCTTTACAAACTTCATTTAATTTTAATTACATAATAGGAGAAAAAGTGTAGTAGCGTAAGTAATACCTACGTCATGATCTTCAACTCTGATCTGAAGTACCTATTGTTTGATGATTCATGAGAGATCATGAAAATCTACATTATCATCATATCTAGTAGATGTCGCTTCCAAGGATCTTAAGTGATGGATAATGGAATTTAAGCTTTAAAAAAGAAATTACAAGGATTTAAGTTTTTTATTTTTAGTATTCCCCTCTTCCTTCAAAAACAAGCAATACAGCACCTTGACCTTTAATTTAGCGAGAGGTGGGTCAAGCCCTAGATTTGAAGTATTTCCATCGATAAAATTGTCCATAGAATACGCCTTTAAAGTTTGATCACTTCCCCGGACCGACTGTATATTTCATTGTCTCAGTTTTGTCAACAGAAACCCAATAAGGATCAAATGCTTCTAATTATTATTACTTAGTTGGTTGATGACTGGCAACAATGATTCCATTTATTAATATTATGAATCTTTAAAAGAAATTAATCAAAATAGGCATTTAATAAAAAATCTGATAGGCTTTATAAAACCCTCACAGGATCCGCGCTTCGTTACACCAACAGACAATAAACAGTGGTGCTGATATGAATTTACATCATAATTATTAAATTAATGCTTAGTTCATAATTCAAAAGCATTGATAGCTATGAAAGAGTGTTTTGATAAATCCGAACAGCCGTACGTTTGTTGCATAATTAGTTTACGAGTGCATGACTCAGTATTGCATTCTCATACCTACCATCGTATACCTACCTATTAGATAGTTAAAGGCAGAACTTTTGCTTGTGTGTAACTCCTAACCATCCAACAACACCAAGACATAAGCTGTAAGGTCAGTGTCATAAAGCCATTGCAAGTAAAATGATATCGACGTAGGTATCATTCATTATGAGATAACAACGATGTCTGTACCTGAAAAAATAATATCTTAATATTGCGAATGGCAATATTTTGATTGTATAATATTGACCATCGATATTAATTCAGAGAAACTAAACTTATGTGAAGGGTTTAGTTAGCTCTACATGTCTCTATGAAACTCTTAAGTTTGCGTTAGTAACGACATCTATATCGAACGACGACGCAGACTGACTGTTCAGCTGTGAATCTATGAAAAACAAGTTTTCCTCGCAATACTGGTAGGTATTTGAAGATGGCGCTACGATTCAGTAAATAAGTTAGGATGGTATTTATGATATAGATGACCCACGCTGAACTGTCCCGCCAAACTCAATGACAGGGGGGCGCTACCATCGTTCAACTATATGGTTTCCAACATGGCAAAAATCTGAACCAGCGATCCGGTATTGACGGTGGCGCCCCACTGTCAATGTCATCGACAGGACAGTCCAGTATTTTGGAACTATAAGTTATTCGGTGCTTGAAAGATGCAAGTTGGCTGAGGTCCAAAACTCAGTTAACTAAAAATCAATTTCTAGATAAGTATACTGACCTCTCGCTATACATATACGAGTAGTACTGTTATACGTTTCAGTATGTGTAGCTCATGAAAAATTTTCAGCTCGGACTCTAAAACAAATCTGAAAGAACACGCATTTTAC